GGTGTGCTATACGAAGTGGTAACACTACAAGTTCAATACATTTACTTTTTATTGTAAGAGAATGACTTTTCGAGATATAAACTACTTTTGTATTTGTGTCATGGCTGATGAATTAAATTTTTTTTTTGAGACTGAGAAAATTAATTTTTTCAAAAACTGATGTGTCAAAAAATATAGTGCTTATGTGTCAAGCTTGTGAGACTCAACTGAGTTTTTATATAATAGATAATAGTTTCAGTACAGTATAAGATGCGATAAAGAAAGCCTCTAATTAATTAATTAAACCCCTACTTCTACTTTATTTTGTATGGAAAATAATATAGTGATTAGTACGGCTCCATGATTATCCCACATTCTCTGCATAACTATAAAGGGAACACCTTTATGAACTATGATGTCCCTCTTTGTATTTTTCCAGCCGTTAACACACACATATGTACTCTCAATTAATCCATTCACAGAAAAGTGTGAATCATAATGTCTATAGTTGTCTAGCTACTCCGAACGTATATCACAACTATATGAATAATGATGTTTAAAGGCTAAATTTTAATATTAGCTGATGTTTAATATGTATGTGTTTGTGTGAATGTGTGGATGAAAATGACTTTTTTTTACAGCGATGAAAATGACTTTAATAATATAATAATTTTAAGAAAGATCTTTCACATTAAAAAAAGAATCCGCGATATAAAATCATGGTTATAGTGATGAATTACATGAGCTAATAATGGATGCTGATTCTAAATAACAATATAATTTTTGAAGGTTTTACTAATATATATTAGAAAACTTTTTAAAATCAACAATCAGTCACATGAATGATACCAAAAAAAGAAGCCATTACAATTCCAATCGGATTGAACAAAGAATGTTGCTAAAAGAGACATCATACATTGAACAGACATGTATGGACATATATATATATACTTCTTTTTTTTTGCCAATGAACCTGTGTCATATGCTTTCCTCTATTATCATTTCAATCATCCATATATACCACCAACAATAATGTATAATATATTTGTGAACATTAATACAGTCAATTTTTGTAATTTTGATTTGCACAAAAGAATAATACTATAATAATGTAGCATGTTTAAAATATCATTTGAGGGCTATTATCAGTAAAAGCACTTTATAGTGTGTCCCAGTAAAAGAGATGGATGTATGGAGCAGCAAAATACATCCATATGGACTTTAGCATGTGCGAAATTAGGAGCGTGTGTTGAGGGAAGTTAGCCGTTGTCGTGGAGCGCCTAGAACATCATCTACCATAATTACCAAAATACGCGTTCCATAAAATCCATACGCAACAACATGGTCTCACTTGCCACGAGTAATGCTCTTTATAAATCTTTTTTTTTTTAATTTCCATAGCTAGTGTTCTATAGGTGAGCTCCTGTCTCTTAGTTTCGAGTTACATTGTGTATAAATATTCACCTTCAAATTATCTTTTACCATCAATTTTCAAAACATTTATCTTTTAAAACATGTTTAGTTTGATAAAAAAAATGTATTTTTATCTCTCTACCAAAACACTGGTAAAATAACTAATATGTTCTGTGTTTCTTACCATTTATCTAATTACATTCATACGAAAGAAACGACAAAAACAATATTATAATAAACATAAAGTTGTTAATAATGACTTAGGAAACTTTTAGTTTTACAAGGCCTATTCCAGCCGATGAAAGCAAATAAACAATAGTCATTTACCAAGATAGAAATAACCAGAATATATGCAATCTTAAGAAAAAAATTATTGGATTGCTTGGATGGTGAGGATATGCCATCATATGTCAAGTTAATTAAAGAAAAGGAGCTAAAGTTCAAATTGAAGATTTGGAAAATCAACTTCAAAATAAAGAAGAAGAGTTCTGCACATCGAAATCTTAAAGAAACTAAAAAAGTAAAGGTGTTCAACACTGAAACATCAAAAATGCATCACATATTTACTCTATTTAGTGGTAGATTACATTTATTATATATGTATATTTTAGTTTTTACTTCGAGAAAGAGTAAGTTTTATATAGGTATATGACTATATGATGTTCTTTCAAATTAACAGAAAATAGACGAATTAAAAATTGTGACAAGTTTTATTTTTATCTTTTGTTTGTCTTTTTTTTTTATATATAGTTGAGGATTAGTGGTTAATTTGAAAGAACATCCTGATGCCTCATTAAATTATATGTCTAATTTATCGTTTATTTTTTTGCATTCAAATTAACAAACACTAATCTCTTAAGAATTTCACTCATATTTGAGATCCAAATCATAACAAAATATAGGAGTTGCAGCTCATCATTATTATCTGTATATTCATAATTACATCATTTTCACCATATGTGTCTTTTTTTGGGTCGAAAGCATATGTGTCTTTAATCGAGAATTTTTTTAGTTGACAATTGACAAAGGAAACTGATTCGAGAATGTTTCTTAAAACGGGAACCTCTCCCGGGCAAAGAGTTTTCCAGACTCTCATACCAACTCTGAAGGTTCACTCTAAAGTAACCATTCAGATATATAAAAAAAATCATCATCGTTCTATTGAAAAATACATATAGTAAACGTAGAGCAATCCTGATGCTGACCATGCGGTCGAGTAGAATACTGAGTAAATGAGTCCAAGAGCCTCGTGACTCGTAAGGTCCTATTGTCGTATTCTGTGTGTACATTTCCTCTACTCCAAAATCTCTAGTTTATCTGATGAACCTTATGACTTCAGCTATAAAAAAAGGGCACGTTTCATTTCTTGGATATCTATGAACCTTAGATGTCCAAATATTATACGCATTCTCTTTTCAGTTTCTATTAGATTCAAAAATATTTGTATTTTCGAACACTTTTCCTATTTATTTTTTCTAACAATATACATTCTACCATATCTTAATACGACTAGTAATACAGCAATAATAATACTACCAATCATTATACTACATGTCTTGCTCTTTTTTTCTGAAGGAAATTTAGCCGAAAGTTTAGCTAGTTCATAAATAGTCCAACGAAACTTTATATTTGCTAATAAATTAAATATGATACATAGAAACTAGCAACAGAAGAACAGTAACACTATATATGGATAATTCGTTCCGGAAAAATATTTGAATAATAGTTCTGCTCTATCGCCGATGGCAGGTGCAATGAAAATTGTTATATACAGTCCCAAAAAAAAAAAAAAATTAGAGGAAAAATATAAAAAATCAATCTATTAATAGAATTTGGTAACTTAGGGACGAAGAGAAGCTTTTGTGCGGCAAACATTGTTGTTGCTCTTCATGCGCGCTTACGTCTCTAACTCTCTATCCTCCTCTGTCTATAAGTACCCCCCTTAAAGAGTCTACATAAAAGTCATAAACTCAACCATATCAATAAACGCTTCAAGTAAATATATCAAAAGAATGAACAATAATGAAGAATTTGTGCAGCTATGGTCTGAGATAATGACCTCGCTGGCTACTTCGAAGGCGGATAGTGAGTTGCGCAGGACCAGCAGATCAGAAGAAGATAAAGAGAACATGGGAAGAAAGAGGCCAGCTGAGTCTGAGAGAGAAAGAAAGAGGAAACGGGTTAAGAGGCAGCGCGTACCTAAATCTTCAGACAAATCTCATAACAATTTGTTGGAGAAGGTACTTAAAACATAATTGTTACGTATTTATTGTTTTGATGCGTGTTCCTCAAGAAACTTTTCATTTACTCTTTTCTTCTTTAATTTGAATACTTAGAAGAAAAAGCGGGAACTTATAAGAAGCAAATTCGAAGAACTGAAGCAATTAACACCCAATTGCCCAAAGGTTCCCAACTTCTACCTCATAAATTGATTTTTATTTTTCTAATTTTGAAATGTTTAGTTTTCTTTAATGTTTTTTTTTTTTTTCGTATGAAATTGCAGTCGGATATCCTCTGCATCCTTGATAGTGTTATCGAGTACACCAAAAGGTTGCAGCTTGCAGTTTTTCTTAAAGGTAAAAAATCTCTATGGCCATCCTCATTCTAATTTCTTCATTCAAGATTATCTTTCTGGTGTGTTAATTTCTCCTCAATTTGCAGTATTGAAAAATTACGTATGAATAGTGTGACCGGAGACTGTCTACGAAGTTTCAAACGCTGGTGCCGTTTTAATATAATAAAGAGTTTTGCATTTTGTCTTTTGTTTGTTAAAAACTTAAGAGTTGCTGTTGGGATCTTTTCATTCTCTCAAATGTTCTCTCCTTTCGGTATTTGTATATATAATAAATTGTTTTGTATGTTTTTGGTTTAATGTTAAGAGTTTAGTTAAAGGTAGACCATATCTTAAAATTTCGTTCAGAAGTTTATACATGATCTGACGAGAATGTTCAAAAAATAAAAATAATAATCCATGATCTTACAAAAGGTGATATATATTTTTTTTAACCCATTTTAAACTTTTTGGTATTTTTATTTGGGAATGTTATTTTAAATGTCGCATATCTTGATATTTCTATTTTTTATATAGTCCAAAATAATACATTTGAAATGAAAAAAAAAAAGATAAAGATAAGCTTTTTATACAAAAAAAAAATAGAGAAAGATTTTTAGGGGGAAAAAAAACAAATAGACTAGAGAAATTAATGTAATTTTAAAAACATTTACTCGTATCACGGATTCACGTGTATATATATATCAATAACAGTGCTAAAAAATTAGTTTGACGTTAAACACAGTTATTCATCTTTCCTTTGCTATTAGGAAAAAGGTAACTTTATATACAAGTTATTTAAAACAATTGATGGAGTAATTATTCAAAATTTGACAAGAGTAAAAAAAAGTTGATAAGAGTTTTTTTTGTTAAAAACTCAATTATTTGTTTTGAAAGAAATATTAACTTATTGTTTCTACAAAAATAAATTAGAACGAAAAAGATACGGGAGAAGTAGTTAGAACGACTAACTGACCTTGTTTTGTTCACCCAAAAATCACTGACATATACAAGCTATCAATACTGAGCCCAAAATAAAAAGGAGAAAAATATTTTTCTAAAAAAAAAAGAAAAGAAATATAATTATCTAAAACAAAATTTCTTGCCGAAAATGCAGCATTTTACTCTAGTATTTGTTTGGTAATCTCTTCAAGTATATCCAGTTTTGTGATGCAGAATACTTCTAGTATTATCATGCGATTCTGTTTTCTCTGTTTGATAGTAACGCGAGCCTTAAAATTGGATGTAACAAAGCAAGTCTGCATTTTTGTTTTAAAAAACATAATTTTACAATAAACTGATAAAATATATCAGTATATACCCAAAAAATTGAATTGGATAATCCAATAAATTTAGAAATATTTCTTCACAATTGTGGTGGTGGTGAAAAAATTAAATACACATTACAAAAAGAAAAATCAAAATAATTAAAAAAATATAAAGAGCAGTAATCCAATATATATGGAGAATCTTTCGTCAAATAATAGATATTTTATTAGTTAAAATAATATCTAATTATATTTAATTTAATTAATAAAAATTTACAGATAATAAAAAATAAATTGGTTGGGACAAGTAATCCAAATATTAAAAAAACTAGTGATTGAAAAAGATTCAATAATATGTTTAAAGCTTAAAACAAAGTTTTACAAGACATAATCAGAGAATAATTCACAATATAATGTTAAAACAAATGTGATAGCTAGATTTGGAAGTGGTTTATTAAATTCTGTGATCAGCATACATTTTATATTCTGTAAATTTGGAAATAGTTAGTTATATTCGTTTTAAAACGGAAAAAAGTTTAAAAAACTCTCAACTATTTAATATTTGCCAGTTTTACCAAAAATCTATACAAACTAATTTTTTGAATAAAAAAAATATTTGAAATATATTATGGTTCCAATTTCTACCTCATAATTTCACGGCGATTAACGGTCAAACGAAATTAGTAAATTCCGTTAGTTTCCAAAACAAAAAAAAAAGTTAAAAAAAAAACCTTCAACATTTAATATTTGCTAGAAAAATACTCAAACTTTTAATGTTGCCAAAAACTCACACAAGCTAATTTTCCAGTGTTAAAAAAACCTGAAATATTATACGATTTCAGATTTTACCCTATTACTTCACATCCATTAATGGTTCTCAGCTTCGTTCGCTGATGGTTATTCATTTGATATTGGTTAGTTTCTCATCGTAGACCATATCTATTCCGAAAGGCGATTTGATATAAGCTCCTAACTAATTAACTCTTTGGAACGGTGTGGCTCATAATAGAGTAATAAATATAAATTAGCAAGTGATCAACTGAGATAAAGTGTGATAGATGTTTTTGATCATCTATGAAGATCATCTCAGTGGAGATTAAATCAGCCCAAAAGCAAAAATGAAACACTTATCTGCAGAATCTTAGTCATAAATATATCGTAATTTTAAAAAATATATCATAATTTATTTTTTATTTTTATTGGTGACAGCTTTTTTTTAGTTGTTGTAAACTCTTTGATATTTTGGATTTTTAAATAAAGTGTCATTTAATGTTAAAAAAAACAAAAATTCATTAATGTGGATTTCTGATAACGTAAAAAGTTTAGGTATTTTTCGGCAAAGATTAAATAGTTGATGATTTTTTTTAACTTTTTCTTGTTTTAGAAAATAATGGAGTTTACGAATTCTGTTTGACCTTTAACGGTCGTGAAATTATGGGATGGAAACTAGACTATAAAATATTTTAAATCGTTTTTTGATTTAAAAATGTAGTTCATATAGGTTTTTGACAACGCAAAAAATCCACATAAAAAACATGAGTTCTTTACCCGTTTTAAAACCTCCGCTTGTGAATCAGTCATGATACAACAGCCTTTGATGCTTCAAATGGTAGCTCATGGCATATATCTTTTATTACGCAGTCCCATCTCTCTTCTAGCGAATAATCCATTTTTTAGTTTATAAATATAAATAATTCGGGAACAAACAAAAATATAAATAATCCAACATTTACCTCTTCGGCTGTAACTTTTTCTCTTCGATAACAGTTGGTGAATTCCAGTCATCCCCTTTCGCCAATTGTTTTTTTGGCATTGGATAGTATAGTTTTCACAGCTAATTAGTTATGCAGATGAGAATTGATGTATCTCTTCTTTGCCTAAAAAAAAGTAATTTTGTTAAGAAATTCGGGATCATTTGTTTTTAAAATATACATTTAGCTTGAAACTTTTAAACTTGATTTTCTGCCAATGCGGTTTAATTACGATCATTTCTTGAAATTGTCTCCTCAAATCTTTCGGAAAATTTTTTTTTTTTTACTTTACTCCTTCAAATCATTATTAGCTTTAAGACACAAGAAATTTTGCAGGATCGGAAAGTTAGCTAGTTGCTGTCTAATAGCTCTTCGGAACAATGGCTCAGGCCGGGATAGCTATCTGTCCACTTATGTATAAACATTCCTTCTTTTTTTTTTTACTTTTGACCATCAACCAGAACATTTGCAAAAAAATCCAGCTATCTTTAGACTATGAACATCACCGTTTCTTATAGAGTATTTTAAGAATATTTTTTAATATTTTTAATTAGTAGAATTAAGAAAATTGAAGAAATGTCTCTTATATTAGAACCGTAAGAGACGGTTTTTAGTGATACGAAGATGTCTAAATCTTTCTCTCTCTTTTGAATCTTTAAAAAAAAATATTTTAGAGATCCAAATGGAGTTTAGCGATACTCATGCTCTTACAGTGGAAAATGACACTAGAGAATATACTCAGGTATGTATTATTTTTCTGTTGACATTAGATTGCAATAAGTCAAAAATAGAGAATATATTACACTGAATCAGACGTCTGAATACAACGTATGTTTTACGTTGCAATAAATCAACGTATTATACGTCACATTATATTTAATTTAATTAGATAAGATCACTTTAAAACTAACTTAGCAACCTCTTATGTTTTGAAAATTATGTTAGGAATCAACAACTTCTTTTTTTGACGTATTAGAAATCAACTAAAAGAGTTTTAAATAGCATGGAAATTCAATTAAATTCAGTTTATTTGATTAATATAGTAGTTTGATATTTGAATTGAGACAATTACCAATCCAACGATAACCCAAATTTGTAATAACTTCAAATACCTTAATCCACACGTTAGTGGCGCAATGGTAGTTGGACCTGGGTTTAAGAAGTAAACTAGCATATGTTAGGCACTTCCATTCCTGATGTGAAAAAAACTCGCTGGTTGGTATTCGGCCTAGAGAATAAACAAATGATGAGCCTGGCTGAAACTCTTGATCAATGGCTCGTGAGATTTTTAATATTTTTTTTGGATAATCAGGGGTCAAAGAAATTGAACAACCGCACTGGTCGTAATAGATCGACTTTCATGATCCAAACTTTTACTATTTCTGACTGAAAGATAAGTTTAGTCATCCAATAATACAATCATTGATTTTCTAATGAATCTAAGGTATTACATCATTTTTACTGGCCAATTCCTCGATTGGTAAAAATATTGGTTGTAAGATATAGCTGTAGACGTTTGGTTGTAAGGATTTTGACTGAATTATGATTGATTCTTTAAAATTTTGTGAAAATTGAACTGATAAACTAAGTTGTACAAGCGGTGACTGTTACTTCAAAATAATACAAAAAAAACTCAATAAGAACATAATAGAAAACCAAAACTAGTAACCCATACATATAATAACATGAACAATTAACATTGAATCGTGAAAGTATTATAACGGCAATTAACCCACGCAATTATTTATTTAACAGATTTATCAAAATCCAAATTTCACGTGACGATACAAAACGACAGCAATCCAAAAGAAACTAACTCACGTGTTCCATCCATACGCTATATTCCATAATAACAAACAATTTAGTTCCCAAAAAACACAAACGAATTTGGGAATACCTTGACGTGAAAGAAAACTCCATTCAGGTCCCGTTTTCCTTATTTCCCGGCAACGGATCTAACCCAGAAGAATATTCCGTCGCCGGAGACAATGGGTAAGCGTTCACTGGCTGAGTAACCATCTGTGGCTGCATCGACCACACTGGTACATAGTAGAGTACCGGCACCATTAACCGCTGCTGCTGCTGCTGCAAAGGCTCTTGAACAATTGTTCGAGATTTATCTTGAACCTCTGCTTTCTCTGTCTCTGTATCTGAAACTCCTCCGATGGCATCGACGGCTGTGTTTTCCGGCGAAAACAAAGAGGCGGTGGTTTTATGAGCCTCGTCTTTTATCAAATTCTCCTCATCGAACTTGCCGTGATCTACACGTTTCGTCGGACTATTATTTGGCGGGAAAATCGGGATAGGGTGAACGGAAGACGAAGAGGTGAAGGATGTTTTCTGGACCGGCGATTCGAGACCGAGTAACCGGTTAACCGACACGGAACATCGAGTTGACTCAGAATGGTTTAACGGGAAGAGGAAGAGACGGATACGCCGGAGACTAGAGGAATCATACTCGGCGATCATGTTCTGCAGATCATCGTTGTTATCGACGGTGATGAGAGAGTCGAGGTCACAGCCAGGGAGTCTATACTTGAGGGAGAAGGAACGGCCAGAGAGAAGCTTACCGGAGAGAAGCTCGTAGAAGTTAGTAAAGGAGATGTCACGAGGAACGGCGACGATGCGCGTCTCGCCGCCTATGTATTGCAATGAATTTGCCGGAGGGAAAGGCATTATCCGGCCACCGTAGCTACAGAGAAGACGGATCATCGGAGTTAACGACGGAGCTTGCGGTTCCATGACGGTAGGAGAAGTGATTAACAACAATAATTAGTGAAACAGAGATTGACAGTCACGAAAGTAGTTTTGTCTGCAAATTGATACTCGCGTCGTTTTTAGGTTTTGGATTCGAGGGAGCAAAAAAAGTGTGTAGAAATCGATGGGACACGAGTATAGAACGTAGAGAGAGTTTGGACAATAGATTTGCAATTGTTAAGACGTTTTAGGGTTTCCACTTTTCTATGTCAATTTTTTTTTTTTAATGGATATATACTATAATATATTAAGTTTATCTTTTAGTTATTCTTTATTTGTAATAGTGGTGTACAATTTTGGTAGTAGTTACCTTTGGTTTAGTAAGTTAACCGTGACAAGTAGTATTAGTCAGTCGGTCATATTCCGATACATTTAATAAATATTTTACAATTAGATAAAATAATAAAAATGAAGTAATAAAAAAGATTAAATAATATTCTAAAATTACTTAAATTAATATTAAAATTTTTAAAAATAAAGAAAATAAAGAAAATATTGTTTACTATTTACATACATTACATGTTGTCATATTAGTTGAAAAAAGGAACAACAGAGTTACAGATGATATTTAATGCGGACGATTATTTTATCAGATAATCGCTCGTTTTATCTTCTCTCATCCGGCATTACTAACCTGAACCTCCATCTCCTTAATTCTGTTCTTGACAATCTTCTCAATTATTTTTAACTGCCTTGTTTAAAGGAAGCTATCATTCGAATCCATATTTTGAATTAAAGAAGTCTTGGAACTAATTAAGAAGTATAGTAGTAAACTTAGATTTTATTAATAATAGCGGTCATATTATATAGTCACAATCGACTTCGAGGGATCATTATTCAATGCAAAAGGTAAATTAAGAAGAAAAAACAAAAGAGGGTCATTACATAGACTTTGTGGACGACATGTCACCACTTATTATCCCCTCATTACAAGTTACAGGGAATTAACGTAAACCATAAGGAACTGCTTGCAAGTCCATGCACGTACTTTATTTGGTATTAATGGAACATGGATGATCAGAGAGAGGTGATAAAAGAGCCAGTGACAAAGTTGGCAATATTTCCAACACTCCCCTGGACGACATTGACCAGCCTAAAGGAGGCAGTGAGGACGCCATCTGGTGGGAACACGGAACACGTGGCCACCGGAAGGTTAACCTGGATAGCGCAAAATGACGGGTCAAAGGCGAGTGTGTCCACAATATTGAGCACCACCCTGAATGCACCGGCGGGATTGGTCACTGCTTGGGCGAGGTTGGTATTTGAGCCGGCACATCTTAAAGAGACGGTCTGCCCCGAAATGGGAGGAGCGTTTGTGTTAGCGTTAAGAGTACAACGCAGGACACCGTCAATTTCGAGGGTGCCGATTCTGATGCCGTTTATGGTAAGGCCGTGGGAAAGGGAAGAGAGTGAAGCAATGACAAAAATGGAGAGGAGAAACACATTTGCTTTCGCCATTGCTTGATTGATCTCTCTCTTTTTCAACTCTATTCTCAAGGAATGTTTGTTTTTTGTTATTCGTTTTGTGTGGCAAAGAAGCAAACGGGGAGGGCTATTTATATTGTTAGGAATTAAGGAAAATTTATTTTGATAATGCAAGTTGTGTTGTTAAATCATTTTAGATAAGATTTTGGTATGGTCTTAAATTTGCTTTAGCCTCTCAACTTGCTCCGCGTTAGTCAACTGTATTTATGATTTCCCCTTAGCCTCTAGGAATTTTTTTTCTAATATATATATCTAACTTTGTTGGGGCAAAAGATGATAAAGAAAAGAAATGCTCGACCAGCAAAATCTAATGTCATCGAAAGAGTGGACCATTGGTCCATTATCATTAAGCTCATCACCATCAAACAACTTCCATCATCATCATCATATCATCTCTTTTCATCACCATTATCATGATCGTCAGACTCACCATGAAAATCTATCCATCACCTTATGAATAACCAATTGGTCCGATAGTACATTCGGTAATATCACCTTTTTTTTGGGTAATCAATTGAATTTATTTTTCTTTGTTTAGGTAGTCAGTATCACAATCCATTACCTTTTTGGTCTTTTAAACTAATTTTGGGCGTTGCAATAAGGTGATACATAAGAACACAAATTTTGATCCAGTTCAAAAACTTTTGTTAATATAGGGTTTTCTCACTTTCTGTAACATGAAAAAATCACTAAAAGATATAATTTTGCAAGTTTAACCTTAATTAGCAAAAAATGCAGGATAAATCCACGAAGTCGGATTTTATCTGCAATATAAATCTCCTGTATTTTTAATGGTCACAAGTCAGACTAGTTAATTAGAGAAGAAGAAAATTAGGAATAACGAAAAAAATAGCCGATATTAGATGTTCACCAGCGCTGAACCATAGTTAATTTGTCTAATGTCCTCCACTAGCTTTTCTCATCAGATATTATTCTAACTACACGATAAAAAATTTCAAAAATAAAGTTTATCATTCACATTAGTATGCAAAAAAGACTAAAAGATTGTTTATATGTATACCATATCAAATATGATTAGCCACATGCGACCGGCCAACCCATACCAAATAGAGATATATATCCAAGTATATATCTGATAAGCACACACAGAAAAGTGAAGAAAGAAAGGGAGGGAGATAGAGAGAGCTACTTATAAGTATTGTGGAGCATAAGCCACTTATTTATCTCTGCAACACTTCAATGTAAAACATAAGACCATTATTACGTAGCACCGACAATACTACCGAGTAATGGGCCGACGGCATAATACGCGATATTTGTGTTATTGTTCACCGCGACGCTGACTAATGTAAGTCCGGCACTGAGGACGCCATTAGGTGAGTTAATAGTGCAGTTTCCGGTCGGAAGACGAACACTGATACTGCATATACCAGGAGTAAACAAAAGTGTCTGTAAGAAGCTGAGGTACATGATAAAGAAACCGCCCAGATGGATGTAGTTTGGGAATAAGACCTTTTTGGGAATAAGACCTTTTTGGGAATAAGACCTTTAAAGGAGACAAATGTAGTTTGTGGGCTGAAGCTGATATGGAGGGTATTGGTTTGTCGAGAGTCTTTGTGGGCTAAATGGATTCACACTAATCTTCTGGCCAAGGAATCTTTCTGGTCGATAAAGGATACGACGAACTCGGGGTTTGTGGCGTAAAATCCTTAAACTGAGACCTCTTGCATAATCTTTTCATCGGGTGGAAATCAGGAGTGGGCGAGATACCTCCTTCTGGTATGACCACTGGTCATCGCATGGAAGACTGTTTGACCTGTTAGGAGCTCATAGCTGTATTGATTTGGGGGATTCGACTAAATGCAACGGTGAAAACTGTGCTGAAAAACCATCGGCGAATGAGGCATCGGATTGATCTATTAAACAGGGTTGAGGAGGATATTGAGAAAACTCGCGCCTCAGCAAATTTCGAAGAAGCAGATATAGTCAAATGGAAATCCAAGGAAGACACATACAGACCTCGGTTTAACTCCAAAGCAACTCGGTTACTCATCAGAGAACCACAGACGATGTGTACTTGGGCGGAAGATGTCTGGTTCAAGCACGCCACACCAAAATACTCTTTCTTCTACTGGGTTGTTATGCAGAACAAATTGTCTACGGGAGAAAAAATGTTAAAGTGGAATGCAAATGTTGATCCGGTTTGTTATCTTTGTCAGCATCCGATGAAAACCAAACAACATCTGTTTTTTGGATGTTCCTACTCCTCGCAGATATGGACTGTTCTGGCCAAAGGCATCCTCAAGGAGAAATTTACCACGAATTGGGAGGACTTGATACATCTCACCCAAGCCGCATCTCTCACAATTGTGTCTCGATTCGTGCTGCGGTATACGATTCAAGCTACAATATATGGCATCTGGCGAAAAAGAAACTCAAGGCGACACGGAGAAGACCCTTCACCTCCGGTGAAACTTATAAAGATGATCGACAAAAGTGTGAGGAATCGCTTAAACTCCATCAAGCTTCAAGGAGATAAAGACTATGAAGATGGTCTCCTCTTTTGGTTTGATACGAGAGATTAATTTCTATTGTAAAATTTTCTTTCTTCTAAAGTTAAAAAACAGATGCACTTGATGTAACACTGTTTTGATTGAATAAATTTTACATTCATTCAAAAAAAAAAAAAAAAAAAACCGCCCAGATTAGTTACTGTTTCAGCTAGGTTTGCGGTTGAGCCACCACATGTTAAGACAACAGTTCCATTTGAGATAGGTGGTGCGCTAAGGTCTCCGTTAAGGTCGCACCGGGCGATACCGAAAATCGCGACTTGGTCTATGCTTAGGCCATCGATTAAAAGACGGTGCGAAGGAGGGGGATAGAGTGAAGCCATGATGAGAAGTATGGAGATGAGATAAGCATTTAATTTTCCCATTTCCTTCTTTGTTTTCTTTTATAGAATGGTTTTGGCTGTGTGTACAGCGTACATGCATAAGGAGTGGAGTATTTATATGGGTATATGCGCGGTATTGTCACGGAATCTGTTTTCTAATTTTAACATTTTGAATTGGCGTCTCAACTCGATCGTTCCAGTTTCTTCTTTTTTCTTGTTTTTGTTCGTGGTATGTTTTTGTAGATAATAAATGTTACTGTAAGGTTTTTCTAGGTCTTATATGAACTGTTTATAATTTATGTATTCTGTTTTACGTACACGAGATAATTTAAGTTACTAAAAGTGTTAATTGCATTAAAAAAATATTTAAGGAAAAGAAACGGGAAATATGTGTTCTTTTAAGAAGAGTTTCTATCATGTTAACAAAATCGTAGTTAATGTAAATTTGTACGAGTGAAAAAAGATGTGTAGGCTACGTGTGGTTGTGGAGCTCATTCGTAATTATTTTGTTCTCCACTAAAGTGATAACCATCGGATTCAAAAAAAAAAAAATCGTTAAAGTTATCCGATTTTTTTGTGTACTCAGAACCGAGGCCTTATAAAAATATTTTGTATTTTATGGTGCCATATCTAAGGATAAGAGTTTTCTGATTTATTAAAAATTACAATTTGTTGGACCAAAAAGACAATCAGAAATCAGCTAGAACATTTCCTCATAGTGGTGTTGCTCCAGCTGCATTTCAGACTCATAGTGTTGATCCATGTTTGAAAACGCCATCTAAAATCCATGTTTGAAGACGCCGTATAAAATTGCAAAACCCCTAAAACAAATCTCTGTCTATTCTCCGCTTAGTTAGTTTCGTGCTAAGGGTAAGGAAGTTGTCATGAGATTCATTTTGGGCGTCGCGATAAGGTGACAACAAATACATGATACATTTTTAAAAAATTGGCAAGATGAGGGAGAAGGAGAAGATGTTCACCATGTTGGCCAGCATTAATGGGGCATAGAGGACGTTTTCCGGTGCGATAAAAGCACAATAACCCTCCGGGACATTAACTCCTGGACGACAGGTACTAGAGCTAAACAAAACTGTATTTAAGACGTTGAGCACTATTCAAAATGCACCGTAGGTGTCGGTCACTACTTCAGGGAGGCTGGTGGTTGAGCCGCCACATGTTAAATAAACTGTGACATCCGAGACAGGGTTAGGCGTTCGTTAAATCTACAATACAGGACATCGTCAATTATGACTTGAGTTATGTTGTAGCCAGCGATTGTAAGATAGTGCGAAGGAAATGAGAGTGAAGCCATGATGAGAAGTGTGGAGATGAGATAAGCATTTGTTTCTTTATTGCTTTATTCCTCTCTCTCTCTCTCTCTCTCAACTTGTGTTGCAAAGAAGCAAATGGGGAGGGTTATTTATATATATACAATATTGGTAGAAATTAGGGAAAATTTATTTTTATAAAGCAAGTTCTGTCGTCTTTAGATTGTTAAGATTTTGGTATAGTCTTTAACGAAAAAAGATTTTGGTATAATCCGCACTATCGTTCTATTATTTAAATTTTACTTTGCCTCTCAACTTGCTCCGCATTAGTTATCTATGATTTTGCCTTAGACTCTAGGAATATTTTCTCATATATTTCACTCTACTAGGGGAAAAGATGATAAAGATAAGATTCGCCTGCAAGGCAATGGACCAGTTAAATTTAGTGGCATCCATGGAAAGAGTGGAAACATCCTCATTTGTAGCCATCGATTGTAAACGGGATGAGAGTGAAGCCATGAATTACGGAGATGAGATAAGCATTTGATTTTTGCAATTCATTTTTCTCTCTATTTTGATTTGTTTTTTTTTTATTTTTGTATAGAAGGGTCTTTCGTTATGTGTATAATGGGAACAAAGCATATGAAAAAGGGGTTTATAATATAATCAAATGAACCATTTACGTTTGCCGTGTTGTTACGGGATATGTTTACTACATTTTTAAAGTTTTGACCTCGCGTCTCAAACTTGTTCTATATTTTATCATCAGGTACTTGTTATAGATAAATGTTTCTAGGTCACAGATGATATGAATATTATACTTAATGTGTTTGTGTTTTACGTGCACGTGATAATTTGAGTTACTAACAAGTGTTGATTGCATAAAAAATATACCAAGGAAATATGTGGTCTTTGTAGAAAAACTTCGTAGTTAATGTGAATTTGTTCTAATGAAAAAGATATGATCTACATGAGCCAAAGGTGGGCACTTGCCCCCACCATGAAATTTCCAAATTCTTTGTAATGTATTAAATTTTTAGCCATTTGTCTCTACTAAAAATCATTTTTTGCCTTCATTTTTTATGTTTGCCCCCTATAAAAAAATTAATGCATATGCCATCCTGGATACGTGTGGGTATCTAGCATTCAATCGTTAATTATACCTTAATCAATGTAAATTGGATGAAAGTATTGAAAACCATGATGAACCTAGAACTCTTTAAAGGGGTTCTGCGAGTCTGGAAACCCGAAACAAAAATTAAACGAAATCACCAAACGAATCCATATTAAGAACTAAAGAAGTACTGGAATAACTTTTAAGGAGATTGCGTCTTATAGGTCGTCATATAGTCTTTTCTTTTATAACAAAAATATATTATTTTATTATTAATAGCCTCATATAGTCACTTTCGACTTAGAGGGATTCTTACAAAAGGTAAATTAAGAAGGAAAAAAAGAAAAAAAAAGAAAAAAAAGAGGGTCGATACTTAAGCATTGTGGAAGACATGACATCACTTTTTATCCCCTCCTTACAAGTTACAAAAAAATTAACGGAAAACATAAGGAACTGCTTGCAAGTAGACTGGACGAAAGAGCCTGCCACAAATTTGGCAACATTTCCAGCCCTTGTCTGGAGGACATTGAGCAGCCCAATGGGGGCTTTGAAGAATACGTATGTTATGATATCCATATCCAATACGATTAATTAGCCACATGAGATCAGCCGACGCATATATACTAAATATATAAATATCAAAGTACATTTATCGTTATTTATATGTATTTGATAATCACACATGGAAAGTCAACAGAGAAGGAGCTACTTATAAGCTTTGTGGAGCATACGCCACTTATTTCGTTTACGGAAAGCATAAAGACCATTATTATATAACATGCATGAAATCCCCTTTTTTGCATCAGAGAGTACTATTAAATTGGTCTGCCCTATAAACGGCGGTATCCGTATTATCCATCCGGACAACGCCGACCAGTGATAAAGTGGAGTAGAGGACGTCTTCCGGTAGGATAAAAGCACAACCTCCCGTCGGAAGATTAACTCCGATACCGCAATAACTAGGGTCAAACAAAAGTGTTTTTATGAAGTCGAGAACTATGGTAAATGCACCGGACAGATCGGTCACTGCTGATGCGAGGTTGATGGTTGAGCCGGCACATGTTAAGAAAACAGTGGCATTCGAGATTGGGGTAGGGTTTCCGTTGGTATTACAAATCAAAACACCTTCAATTCTTACTTGGCCTATGTTGACGCCAGGAATAACCAGGCCGTGGGAAAAGAGTGAAGCCATGCCGAGAACTATGGAGATGAGATAAATGTATGATTTCACCATTTCGGTTTTTTTTTTCTCTATACTAATTTTTTTTATATAAAATGGTTTTGGCTGTGTATGGCAAAGAAGCATATGGGAAGGGTTATTTATATGGGTAGATGAGTGAATCGTTTAGTTATGCGGTATTGTCATGGAAGGTGTTACTTTTCTTTTCTTTTGTCCGTGGTACTTTGTTGTAGATAGATAGGGATAGATGTTATAAGCTTTTTCTAGGTCGCATATGATATAAAAATCATAATTAATGTATTCGTATTTTACGTGCACGAGATAGTTTGAGTTATCCAGTGGTTATTGCAGTGAAAAAATATCTAAGGAAAAGAAACCTGAGATATGTGTTCTTTTAAGAAGTTTCTATCATGTTAACAAAATCGTAGTTAATGCAAATTTGTACGAGTGAAGCAAGAGAAGATGTATAATCTATGTGTGGTTGTGGATATCTCAAAGGGTTCGGAATTCATCGTTGGTTATAACTATACTATGTAAATTAGATGAAAAATAATGTGAGGATCAAATGTTAATACTTTTTTCTGAACGAAGGATTTCGCTCCTCAAATTAATGTTAATATTTGTTCTCCACTATGGTAGCCGTAGTCATCAGATTCAAAGACAAATTTCGTAAAAGTCATTCGATTTTTGTGTGCATACAGAATCATGTTTATCGGTCTAATTTTGAGCCAGCCACATAGGCCTTCTGTAATCGCTATAATCGGCCCAAAGCATAAAATTGTTATAAAAATTTCAGTTTTTGTTTTTTCAAGTTAAGAATATATTAGTATATGGTAGATCTATAAGTTTCATGTATTCATGACCAGGAAAACGTACAAAGATAGAGGAAGTAGGAAAAAAAATTCAAATGCAACCGCTAATTAGGTTAAGAAAGGAGACTCGGGGAAGAAAATTAATGTCAAATTACGGTTTGCCTTTCATTATTTGTAAGGGTCAAGTCGTCGCATATTATGGGGAAAATAACTGATACATTTGAAGTACATTAGGTAATAGCAATAAATTTATTTTTTCTTGTTTTTTGGTAGTCAGATATCACAGTCCACATTTTTTTTACGGACTTCGAGACTCATATTGATAAGGTGCAACAAATACATGATACGAGAATATCAAATACGATCACCCATACTAAATATAAATATCCAAGTATATATATTTTTGATAATCACACATAGAAAGCCAACAAACAGAAAGCTACTTATAAGCTTTGTGGAGTTTAACCCACTTATTTCTCTATGCAATACCTCAAAGTGAAACATATATATAAGACCATTATCATGTATCATGCATGAAAGTGCCCCTTCCATCAGAGAATATTAACCGACGAATAGGTTGGCGGTATAATAAGCGGTAGTTATAGTATTGTTCCTGACGATTTTGGCCAGCATTAATGGGGCATAGAGGATGTTTTCCGGTGCCACAAGAGCACAATAACCCTCCAGGATATTAGCTCCTAGACCGCAGATACTAGAGCTAAACAAAGCTGTCTCTAAGACGTTGAGCACTATTCTAAATGCACCTTTGGTATCGGTCACTACTTCACGGAGGCTGGTGGTTGAGCCGCCACATGTTAAATAAACAGTGGCATTCGAGACAGGGTTAGGCGTTCCGTTAAATCTACAATACAGGACATCGTCAATTATGACTTGGGTTATGGTGTAGCCAGCGATTGTAAGACCGTCTGAAGGGAAAGAGAGTAAAGCCATGATGAGAAGTATGGAGATGAGATAAGCATTCGATTTCGCCATTGCTTTATTTCTCTCTCTCTATCTCTCTCTCTAGAATGCTTTTGTTTTCGTTGTGTTGCAAATAAGCAAATGGGGAGGGCTATTTATATTAAAAGGAATTAGGGAAATATTATTTCTATAATGCAAGTTCTGTCGTTAAATTATTTAGATAAGATTTTGGTTGGTCCGCATCTAAGTTCCATTTCTTAAATTTGACTTTGCCTCTCAACTTACTCCGCATTAGTTAACTGTATTTATGATTTCCCCTTAGACTCTAGGCAAGATTTGCTAATATATTTAACTCTATTGGGGCAAAAGATGGATAAAGGTAAGAATCGCCCGCAAGACAGTGGACCAGTAAAATCTAGAACGGAACCATCCTCATTTGTAGCCAGCGATTGTAAGATTGTAAGACCGTGGATGAGAGTGAAGCTTCATGGAGCTGAGATAGGGTTTTGATTTCGCTATTTCGTTTCTCTCTATTTTGATTTTGTTTTATAGAAGTGTTTTTGGTTATGCTTGACAAAGACGCATATGGAAACGGGTGTTTATAATATAAGTCAAATGAACCATTTACGTTTGCGTCTCAACTTGTTCTATATTTTTTATCAGCTGTATTTGTTGTTGAAATAAAGTTCTAGGTCACATATGATATGAATATTATAATTAATGTGTTTATGTTTTACGTGCACGAGATAACTTGAGTTACTAAAAAGTGTTGATTGCATAGAAAGATATCCAAGGAAATATGTGGTATTTTTAGAAGAACTTCGTAGTTAATGTATGAATTTTTTTCGAGTGAAAAAGAAATGACGGTGTAGGGTACGTGTGGATATTTCTTAGAGTTAGGAATTTATCGTTAATTATAAATTCAATCGACGTAAATTAGATGAAAGGTATTGAGTTATTGTTTTCCTCTTGACACACGAGATCTTTCTTTGTTTTTTGCATTTTGGTAGCCATAGGATTCAAATTTCTGTAAGAACTAAAACTACAAAGAATATATTATTTTTGATTGACAAAACTGTCAAGGAGTCCATTGAAAATTGTTTTTTTCGACGGATTTTAGCTAATTTTATTATTTTTTAAAAAATTGATATAAATTCAAAATCAAAATAGAAAAATCTTAAATATCAATCATATAACTGCAAATTATGTTTAAAAATAACTACAGCTTAGGTAAAAATTTATAAAACATCCGGCATATAATATCAAGCATGACTTGTTCAATTTCTTCATTGAAGTGAAACTTTCCATCTTCATAATAAAATGACTTGTTTAGATAAAACTTACGTTGAACTTCATAATCGTTTTTTTTTTGTTTTACTCAGAACCTTATAAATATTATATATTTTATGGGGCTGTATCTAAAGAATAATTAGCTTAGGTTGGACCATGAATGTGTGACGGGTCTTGGAAGAAGGGTGCCAAATTTTCAACGTGTAGGAGATTGTTGGGAGCTAGATGCCAAAGAAGAAGCCTCTCTCCCCTACATTCGAGCTGGAAGCTTTATTGCAACTCTTTTGAAACCAACTCAACAAGTTCATTGCAACTCTTTTGAAACCAACTTTTCAGAGTTGATTAAGATGAAAATTTCCAACGAAAAGGAAACGTATTAGATGTATTAGATTTAATAGAAGTTCTATCATATTGAAATCAAGCTGTAGGTAATGTGAATTTGGATGTAACAAGAAAACATGGCGTAGGAAGTTATCGTTAATCAAAATAAATAAGAGATGTTAAGAGTTGAGACGTACATGACAATAGAGGAACCACCATGGGTAAATTCACAATAAGCTGCTTCTTTAAAGTCGAATCTTTCAAATTACATTCAATCTCCATATTGACACGGCACTATAAGAGAGAGAAGCGTTCAGCTTTGTTGGTCTCTCTAATCAAAGCCGTCGCTGCTCATTTCTCCACCGCAAAAAGAGGAGCGTCCATGAAGATTCTTCGACCGTCTCTTGTTGTGTACTCATACAATCAATCCAAAATCCTGCATCGTAAGTTTAAACAAATATATTTTAATATATAAATAATGTCCAACTCCAATTAATATGAAACATTTTAGGAAGAATCCAAAATCAAATTTGTATAGGTTTTGCCAGTTGGATTCAAAACAGATAATATCATACTAATTGAAGGAGTTAGACATGAGCTTAGAAAAGCTCAATAATACATCCATAATACATCCATAATACATCCACTGTGATCCTAAAAGCCATGCCATTGCGGTTCTTCCAGTCAAGCCACCAAATCCAAATTGACCAGAGTTGTTATCAAAACAGTTACCACTAGTGATCCGAGAAAAATCAGACTGATTAATAGATTTGAAGGCAGGATTGGGCAGCATCACTTTGCTTCTTTTACTTAAGTTTTACGTATTTCCTTTTTGATGGTTTTCTTAATTCATTTTCGTTTATTTTCTTAAATTAATGAGACTAGGGTTTTGGTGTTAGCGTCTGGAAACTAGACCCAATGTCTGCATAGTCAAAGCTTGTTATAAAAGCTTGCTATAAGTTAATAAAAAGAGAGAGAATACAAATTTCTTAAATGTTTTGTAATACAAATTTTTCCGTTGTATTACTTACAGTGTTTAGGGCAGTAACTCTTAATTCAAGGAGATTGTGTCTTATATATAAGTCGTCATATAGTCTTTTGTTTTTAACAAAATATATTTTTATTATTAATAGCGTTCATATATAGTCACTTTCGACTTAGAGGGATTATTACAAAAGGTACATTAAGAAAGAAAAAAAAACAAAACAAAAGGGGGTCGAGACTTAAGCATTGTGGAAGACATGGCATCACTTATTATCCCCTCCTTACAAGTTACAAGAGATTAACGTAAAACATAAGGAACTGCTTGCAAGTTTGGTACACCGATGATCAGAGAGACTGGACAAAAGGGCCTGCCACAAATCTGGCAACATTTCCAGCCGTTGTCAGGAGGATAGAGCTGTTAATTGGACCGTCCACGCCCGTCCACGTCCGTCCACAATGTCCATTTAATTTAGCGGACATAACTGGACTGGTTGTAATAGACATTAGGCCAAAAAGTGTCCACGCCCAAATTGGACCATGTCCAAATCGTTTTTTCGTGGGTCATCCATATTATTTTGTTGATTTTTTATTTGATATGTTGACTTTTGTTTCTATTACTAATAAATTTAATTTTTTTAATTTTTTAAATGTTTATTTGATCTTTTAACTACTACAAAATGATAATTCTATATTTTTCTTAATTTACATATTTAAATTTTAATTTAAAATGTTTTTTATCTAATTTTCAATTATTTGATTATTTTAAAAATTCAATAATTAAATTAAAATCGAATTTAAATAATTAATTGCTAAATCGACGTAAATTCGTCGTAACTTTACGTCGAATTAACGTCAAATAGTTTACGACGAATTAACGTCGATTAAAACGTTGAATCTACGTCGAACATTTATGACGAATTAACATCGACTAATAATAAATTTATTTCTCTTAATTGAAATAGGTCGTCTTCTAATCGTTGTTAAATCGATGTAATTTTACATCGATTTTACGTCGTTGTTATGATAGACTTATGTCGTGTACTTTCGTTGAAAAATTTACGTCGTCTTTACGACGAATAGTTTCCGACGATATTACGACGATTTTCCTGAGTTGGTAATTTTACGACGATTTTATGACGATTTTTCATTCGTCGCTAATTCGACGTAAATGGCCTATTACGTCGATTTTACGTCGATATCTGCCGACGTAAAACGTGATCTTTATTGGGTGCAGCTTTCCTTCTCAATTTTCCAAGTTTGCCAATGTGGGATAAACTTTTTGTCCATGGGCAGACCAGTGTAACATATCCAGCCCGTTTTGTCCATAGGCGAAATTGGACGAAGTCCAAATAAACCCGTTTAAAAATGGGCTTGTCTGTGACCGGTCTAAAATGTATTGAGCAGCCCAATGGGAGCTCTGAAGAATACGTTCCGAGGCTGAGGGTTAACCATAAGAAAGTACGATGCGGAGTCAAAGACAGCTGTTTCCGCCATTTCGACCACGACGGTGAATGCACCGGCGGAATTAGTCACTGCTTGGCCGAGGTTGGTGCTTGAGTCGGCAGATCTTAAGAAGACGGTCTGCCCGAAAACGGGAGGAGGGTCTAGGTTAGGCGGGATAACGGCTACAGATAAAGCATAAACAAAGAGACCTTCAACTTCGATTCTGGAGACTACGGTGCCGTTTATGGTTTGGCCGCGGGAAAGGGAAGAGAGTGAAGCAATGACAAAGATGGAGAGGAGGAACACATTTGCTTTCGCCATTGCTTTATTGATCTCTATCTCTTTAAACTTTATTTTCAAAGAATGTTTTTATTTTGTATTTCGTTGTGTGGCAAAGAAGCAAATGGGGAGGACTATTTATATTGGTAGGAATTAGGGGAAATTTATTTTTATAATACAAGTTGTGTCGTCTTTAAATTAATTGGATAAGGTTTTGGTATCGTCCGCGTGTATAGTTCCATTTCTGAAGGCCCTTTAACAACAACAAAAAAATAGTTCCACTTCTTAAATTTGACATTGCTTCTCAACTTGCTCCCATTAGTGCTGTATTCATGATTTCCACTTAGCCTCTATGAATATTCTAATATATTTAACTCTATTGGGTATAATATAATAAAGATAAAAATTGCCCGTAAGGCAATGGACCAGTAAAATATAATGTCATCCATGGAAAGAGTGAAACCATCCTCATTTGTAGCCAGCGATTGTAAGGCCATGATGGGAAGTATGCATGAGATAAACATTTGATTTCACCGTTTTTCTCTCCATTTTGATTTTGTTTAATAGAAGGGTTTTTGGTTGAGACGTACATGCCAATAGACGATCCACCTTGGGTAAAGGCACAAATAAACTGTTTCTTTAAACCAAGAATCAAATCTTTCAAAATGCATTCAATCTCTATATTGACAGGGTATCGAGAGAGAAAAGTGTTCAGCTTCCTTGGCAAGGACGGACTTAAAAAAAAATATTTTAGTGGAGTCAATATATTATACAAATTATTTATTTTCTGAATATTATCTTATATATATATACATATATGTTTTATAATCTCATTATTATATCAACATTGTTGTTAAGAACACTTATAAAGTAGCAGACTAACGATTAATAGTTCTTTTGTGCGTGATTAGTTTACTTCTAAAAAAAAATTGTATATATAGAATCTTATTAGTTGTATAAGTTTAAATCAACTCCGTAAAATTTAAAGTATATCAAAACTGAAAAGAATTAACTCATTTAGAATTTAAAATATATGAATTATCTAAAAGTTTGAATTATGTGGCAGTAGATTTAGAGAGTAAACATGATACTATTTAAATTTTACTAGAATTGAATTTCATAATAGTTAAAAACACATAAAAACATAAAATTAGTTTCAAATTCAATTAAAACTTTTTCACGTGAAATCAATTGTAAGAATTTGTCAAAGATGAACAACATAAAATTTTAATTAGTTTATTCAAATCTTTAACTAAATAATAATAGATTTCAAACTCTTTTAATTTAATGAATAGATTGTAAATACAAAAACCAATAACAATATATTTTTATAAACGATTTAAAATCAATCATTTAATAACAATGGATTGTAGATAGATTTAAACTCTATTGAAAATCATGATTAAATAATATCCCATAACACGTATTTATATTTATGTAATTAAGTCAAATGTTTTCAAATCAGGTTATATATAAAAAAATTTAATACTATCAAATACACAACAATAATTAAAAATATATTAAATCAATGCATTATTAATAGAAAAGGTATTTTAAACTTAACAAATGATTTTGAAATTTCATTGTTTTTTATTTTAATTTAAAAGTTATTTTCTAATTAAATTCAATTAAAATGTGTTCAGAGCATGAATAAATAAGTTGATAGAAAAGAGAAAATTTCATTCAAATAAAAATTAGGAAGAAGTTATATAGGCGACCAAAAAAAACAAGTTATGTTATATTACAAGAGGTTGAACATGAATATTAAAAATGTAAAGGATGTCACTTGACCCCGTATCATAATTGCATGAGTCCGCCTTTGTTCGTTGGTCTCTAATCAAAGTCGTCGCTGTTCCTTTTTCCACCGCAAAAGGAGCGGAATAGGAGCGCTGTCCATGAAGACTCTTCGACCGTCTCTTGTTGTGTACTCATACATCCACTGTGGTCCTACAAGCCACGCCATTGCAGTTCCACCAAGCAAGCCACCAATCTGAGTTAGCCAGAGATGTTATCAGACCACTACTGATCCGAGAAAAATCAAGACTGGTTATTACATTTGAAGCCATGAATAAGTTACTTACATGTCCCCAGTTATCTATGCCTCTGGACACTAGACCCAATGTCTGCATAAGTCAAAGCGTTTTAGAACTTAACTGAAATAGAGAATACAAATTTTTTAAAATGTTTGCAGTTGTATACTTGTATTACTTACCATGTTCAGGGCAATAACTTGAGCTATCTGCATCAGATCTTCATTGCCACCTCGGACCATCCTCTTGTGTCTTATGACAAATACAGCAACCGATCCAACCTACAAAAAAAAAGAACTAGAGTATCATTTAACAATCTTTCATTTGTATGAAACAAGTCTAAAAGAAAGGCTTATGGTTCCACGGGACTTACCAATCCGAAAATTGCCCCTGAAGCACCAACTGATGGCGCTTTGTTGAACCAGTAGCTCATTGCTGAACCTAGAACTCTTAAGATGGGTTCTGTGAGTCAGGAAACTCGAAACAGAGAAATCTAAGCATCCACATCAAAACAAAGTCTATGAACGATTACTTACTTGCAATTGCGGATGTCAAGTAAACGGCAAGAAATCTCTTTGGGCCACCTAAACTCTCAGCAGTTGGTCCAATAGAATTCAAAGAATAGCAATTTATCTGAAACCAAAGGGCCAACAGTTTAGCCATACAGAGAAATATGAAGTAAGCACCATTGGTTAGAGACAACAAGGCTAAATAGTTGGTTAGAAACAGAACCATGAGATGCATAGGATTCGCATGAAGAACAGAAGACGTAGCCAGTCTCCATAGCTGACCTTTATCAATTAAGCTGTTTACCTGCGATCATCCACATATTAATTTGCAGCAACAAACAAACGGTATCACATTCAATTAAGTCTCTGCATATGTTACCTTGGCTCCCCATGCCAACACTTTCCCACTGGATGCAACTTGTGCAATATACATTCTGGCATCATATACACAAAGATGAAACACATAAGCCTTAACTCATAATTCTCAAACTTGATTACAACAAATCAGAGCAAAAGACATGATCTTTTTATCTATAGTAGAGAATTAAACACGTACATTACGTTAATGGCAAGGAGGACATTGGTCCATCTCCGTCCATTAAATGTGTTTCTCTTGGAGGTCTCCTGGTTTGATGATGATCCTTCCTCACCTCTAGGGTCTATCCTACTCTCTCCTCCATTAAAGAAACATATGAATGACGAAGAAGATGGAGACAAGCGGATATTAGCTCTAGACTGGAGAAAATTAGCCCCATTGAATAGAATGACTCTTTGATATCTAGAGAACTCCATTCGTGCAGCATCAGAAAATTGCTGCAGTTTCTGTAAAGCAGAGCATATTCAAAAGAATAAAGGAGATGAAGCTTTGAAAGCTTTTGCGGTTTTCAATGACAAGAAGCAAATAGCATCGTCTATATAATAATAGACAATGGAAGAAACTCCATATAAATCATTTGACTCAGGACAAAACCCAATTTTTTCGAACAAAGTGTACATTTTCTAGGCCAGTAAGCACAAGTTTTAAGCTTTGGTGTGGAAATCAAGTTTAAATCTTTTTCTGTCCAATCTATCACGAGGACTGTGATCGTCGTTTACTCAACAAGAAATAGAAATTCATCGTCTATTTCGAATTTTCAGTTGCTGAAAATCACAAAGCACCAGATGAAGAATATCTAAGCCTTTTATCCCAGAAATTCTAAACAAGGCTCCAAATTTTCGGAGAAAAAGAAAGCATAAAAGAGTAGCTGAACCTGAAGGGAAGATCGAAGATGGAAGTCAAGGCGGAGCTGACGGCGAACATGGTGGCAAGCGTGTACGGATGCGGCGGTTGCGAAACCACGAAACACAGTAGATCCAGTTTCCGGCGGCCAGAGATTATGTTGAGATAGCGACAATGATACCATCTCCTTCGCTTTTCTCAATGTCGAACCTTTAATTTGCTTTTTACCCTTTTGGCGTCTCTTGAATATGTTATTTTCCGATTTCTTTCGTCTTACTCCGAAGGGAAGAAAAAAAAATCTCTAACACATAGTTTCATGAAAAAATTGGTTTTCTTAAGAATATCCTAATTTTGTTTATGTAAAGATGGTCCATTTAAATGTCCAATTGATTTAGAATAGAGAAAGATGTTAATAGTAGACTTCTGAGTCACTCTCACAGTAACAACTGAATATTCAGACAATTTGATTTTGCCCCCAAAAAAAACCAAATGCATAGATAAATGGAGAGACATAAAGATTAGCTTGAATGTAGAAGGTCGATGATGAGTTGTTTTCTTCTTTATTCACAAGCAAGCTTAGTGTCAAAGCTGCTTAAGCAAATAGCAAACGCCTGAAACGCCGACAATGGATACCTATAATCCATCGTGAACATATCTTTCCCCACTTTACCAAACTGTAGAATCACTTTGTCTTGCTCCGGATGAGGCGCCGGTGCAGCAGCAGCCGCTGCTCCGCCGCCTGTCCCTTGCTGCGTCGGCGGCTGCCTCGCCGCCACAAGCTGGAAATTCTTAACCGACGCAACCGTGACACGCCCTCGGAAATTCAAACACCAGCATTGCAACTGCTCGTGCCACCTAGGCTGCTTGTTCTTTAGCACCAACGGTCTGAAACTCGTCTCTTCTTGGTCATCCTCGCAAGAAACTCCGATCTCGGAGAATCTTGAGCTGCTGAAATCTACGGAGCGGTAGTCGAGCGATGATTTGGAGAACGAGATGTTGCTGCGGAACGAGTCGTCGAAAGACCGTGGTGGAGGAGGGAGGAGTTTATCCGGTTGGTTAGGGACTGAACCGCCCGGTTCGAGAGATGAAGTTGGGATGGAGTTCATGATGCAGTGCATTCTCCGTGGCCCGCGTGTGCCCAACACGTTGAGCTCGTATGTGATCTGAGCAATGTTGTAGCTGCCTGATGGGACTTTAGGAGAGACTCTTCTTGAGTGAAATCTGCTTCGGCTTGTTCTATCGGTGATGAGTGCGCTCGAAGATGTGTTTGGTGGTGGTTGTGTGTCGTATACCAAGAACTTTGTCCCAAGAAAGTTTGATCTGATGGCGAAGAAAGAAACTTTAATATGAGCTTTAGAAACAAATGACAAAGGGATCAAGGATTTCAAAACGAAACCTGAGCTTTCCGAGGTAAGCGTTGCTTGATCTTGAGATGTTATCAGCATCCATGGAGATAATGTACTCGGTTCGAGTAGTTCTACGAGTTCTTTTAGCCGAAAGAAGAAATTTCCCATTCTCTACGAGTAGAGCTGTAAAAAACATAATGCAACTAGAATTTAGCCATAAACTTAGGTAAATCAAAACAAAGTAGCTAAGTCGTCCTAAGAAAACTTACCGGGACTTAAACAAAGAAAAAGGTGAAATGTTAGCTTTGATTTATCCCTTTTAATGAAACATTGAATCATTGCATCACGAGGCCCTGGCTGAAAATGTTTACAACATTAAACAAAAAGTTCTTCATCAGATGTTTATACTTAACAACACTAACTTAACAGGACACAAAAGGGAAGTTGTTTTGAGGAGCAAACCTGTTTGAGGGAAACTGGAAAAGTGAGCTTCCCACAGATTTCAGGACATACGACGATTTCTTGGCACATAGCTCTCCAAGACCGACAAACAGAAGCACAAGCCACGACATGTTTTCTTGCAGGCCAATTACTCTCGCTCTCCTCTAATCTTTTAATCACATCGAAGAGTAGCTCCGGAGGAAGATTAGCCCATCTGCTTGTCTGAACTATCACAGGTGACAAAAGATCACGGGAAGACGAATACTCACGAAACGAAGATCCCTGAGATTTCCCTTTGTGGAGACTCGAGAGCCTGAAGTCGAAACTCCTCCTCGACAAGCTCCCAAACCCATCTTTCACATCTTGAACAATGCTCCTAAACGACATTTCTATTTCTTCTTCAAAGGATGTTTTTCAACAAGACCAACCCTTTCTTTATAACCAGAAATGCCCAAAACAGAGAGCTTCACACTGAGATGAGAGATTCCACTGACTGTCCATAAGAAAAAGTTCATTAAGCTTAGCAATTCTGAGTCACCTTCTTAATAAGTAAGAAATAAAAGTAAAAGAGCCAGAAAAAGAAAAGTGGAGGCTAAAAGAGAAAGAAGAGTTGGCCAAAGCTTAGGAAAGAAAAGATATACAAGCATCGCATGCCCAATAAAGAAACTAGGTCATGTCCCCAATATAGCTTTTAATCAAGCAAAAACCTTTTCTTTATGACAATTTTTTTAATTAATGAGAATCTGATATTAGTTCAACAAATGCCCCAAAAATGGAGATCATATAACGGTTAAAGTGGTAGAATCAGGAGTCAATTTGATACTGAAGCAATTAAGTGGGACATAATAAATGGAAATTCCAGCGGCTGTAATTGGTAATAAGAGATTCGCATGTATCATAAAATTAAGGATATGAAACGGTTTCAACAATAAACAGATCATCAAATTCAATCTGGAAACTTTTACAAAAATTACTCATCTGATTTACTTCCTATGAAGTCAAACTTTTAGTTAATTTCAGATGAAACTGATACTGGGTTGTTTACTACAAGAAATTCAATACCAAAAAATTGGGATTTCGAGTTAGAACATATAATCTCAGTGCATAAACATCAGAGACAGAACAAGAAGGGTAAAGTATGAACCTTTCAGACAAGCAGAGGCAGAATTAGAAACCCAGAAGCTTAAATCACATCAATCTTGAAAGACAAATCCACCTAACCTCAGCTTCTCCGACCAAATCCAGAAACTCAGTAAAGCTAGAACAGAATCTGGGTCTGCTCCAGAACTTGAATCCTCCGGAAATTACGGGTAAACAGAAAAAATAAGAAACAGGATCACAAGGATTTAAGCAGATCCGTAGGAGCCTAAATCTAAAACAAAAGAGCCCATAAAGTCAAAGAACAACAAAAACCAGAAAAAGATAAAGTCGTCTTCTGCTTTTTTCGTCTCTGCTTTATTTTTTTCCAGTACTCAGGAGCTTTTCTTGATTTTTCTTTAATAGTAGTTCACGAGCCAGCAAGAAAATAATTAAGAATAAAAGTTAATTTTATTAAAAATGATGATACTTCCCCAAATGCTTCTTCTCTGGATTTTATCATCGAATTTATATGACAATTTTTTATATTTGTCTTCTCAAGAGAGAGAATTTTAATAAGTGGACATTGTGAAGCATTATTGTCCACGAGGCCGCATGACCTACGCCTCGCATCAAGCAAAGACCCAACGATAATTTTGACTTTCTTCCTCTTTTTTTATAAAAAGTTTTTTTAACCGAACTGTTACTGAAAGAGATTTAACACCATTTAACTTGGAGTCTTATCACTGAATCCAAATCATTGTAAAATGGCATAAATAAATATTTGTTAGAGTTATTAATTTACTATCATAAACTTACGAGAAAAAAAAACAAATTTGGAAGATGAGGAAATTTGTGAATAAAGGAGACAATAATTTATTTATTCAACCAAAAAAAAATAATTACTTTGAAACGCCTTAAGATATTATTAAATTTCCTTTTGAAATCTTGTTTTTTTCGAAAAGCTTAGTTGAGTTCTTAAAACCATTTTTTTGGGGGGACAAGCATTGTTTAATCTAATCTAAAACTATGTACTAGGAGACTAATTAGGCATATTCACACTCCTCTAGTGTTCACCTAAATTTGAATCATAAATTGGTTTACGTCCGGTTTATCGATATTGGATCATTTTCCTAAAACCTGCATACATACATATTTTCCAATAGTTTCCAAACCTGCATACATTCTTCATGAGACTTTCCATTGTCCCAAACTGTTTGATTCTCAACTCGCCTTTGGATCATAATTTATAATACTCCAAAACCAAATTACGGTATAATCTCAATTCTTAAACATACTTAATTTAGAGTCAATCTTTGAGTTGCCTGCTTTTCTAATATGAGTATTACATATTCGATGGTTGCTAATGGCCCATTTTTTTTGTTATATCTTCTTTCCAAAACTATGTTATCTTTTCTTCTCAAAACTCGATGCATGCATTCTTTCTTCTTCCATATATCTTAGAGACTCTTACTGCTTTCGTTATTCCTAATTTCACCAAAACGTACAGTAACTAAGATAAAGCTCGACCTAACTTAATGTGAACTTCTCAATGAATAATCGGAGAAGATCCGAAAGTGAAACTCATATTAATCTCTAAGACCTATCGATAGTTGGATTCTTTTGCAACGTAAAAGCTTTTAAGTTTTAAAGTATCTAAGAGAACAACAATAATATACATAGATGGTAAAACTCGTTCTCTCGACTTGGTACCACATAGCAAATCTTCTACGCATTCGAATAAACGACTGAGTCACCCGCAACATGATATAAAATTCGAAGAAAAAAATTAAAGTCGTTTGACAATACTGTACATGTAAAACATTTGTAGGCCTTTTTGTTGGAGTAATACTGTACAAATGAAAATGGGCCATGAGCATGTACTGCTTGCCCTACCTAGAGCTGTATCCATGAAGAAAAAGAAGACACGACAAGACGTGATAGTTACTAACATGGGTATTTTAAGTTATACGGGCAAACTGACTAGTGGTTAGAGCATCTCCATCAGGGTTTTTAAACCTATTTTGTAGCTTCGTTTCATAGGTAGAAGGATTAAAAAAATAGTTTTAGTTCAGTTTTGCTAAGGAATGCTTCTTATATAAAGAGCTGAAGAGACTATCTCTTAATACACGTGGCGGCTGGTCATTGGCCGTTTCAATTTTTTCTTTTTTTAAAAAAAAACACAAACATTAAAACACTAATAGACATCAAAAACACATAATCTTTTAGCTTTTTCTCTTATATTTTAGTTAGACCGGCTGATCCATTTCTCGAAACATTTTATGCTACAACCACTTGGTTTATTGGTTACAATATTTCATAGTAGGTTTTATAGAGATACGATAACAAGAACAAGATTACAACATAATTATATCTATATGGATCGCATTTCTCAGTGAAAATAAAGTTTAAGCACCAGTCTCACTTGCCTTTACCACCTGCAATTACAAAGTACATAAATATCGGTTCCAAATCCACTTTTAGTTTCATTAAGTTACAAAACCCTGATAGGACAACTATTTCATCAACTACAACCACTTGGTTTACTGGTTACAATATTACATAATATATTTTAAAGAGATAAGATTACAAGGCCAAGATTACAACATAGTTATATCTATATGGATCTTTTACTGAATTTAAAGTTTAAGCACCAGTCTCACTTGCCCTTTTACCACCTGCAATTACAAAGTACATCAACATTAATTAGTTCCAAACTTCCAAATCCCTTATGGTTGCCTTTTAGTTACAAAACCAACTCATCCCACAACCTATGATCCGGTTCTAATGGACAAACACAGTATTTATATTTACTTTCATCGATAGAAACTCTCAGTTTATGTTCATTGCATGGTACGTAGATAGATCAGACCGCATAATACAACCTTAATTAACTGACTGGTGAGGGAATGCTTCCAATCTGATAAAGGTATCGTGGACTAGTCTCATAGGAGTCCGTTTTACTCATCATTCCACTAGAAATTAAGTATTTTACCTCGGCCACACTTTTTGGCGCATCGGCGTTCGCATTTAATCATCTTTTTTGCTGGAAAAGAGAAAATATTAATAGGGGCTTATAGAAATCGAAGGTATGAAAAACTGAAGATAGAGTACTCACTGTCGCGCTGGACGCAGCCCGTTATGCAACCGTCGAAGCAGTCTCCGGGGCCTAATTGACCTTGAGCCTCCGCCACCATATCTAAGTTCGATGTTAAAGCCACAAGGATCAGAAGGGCCGCCAATATAGTCACTTGCGTTTTCATCATTGTCTCTGTGATTATCTTTCTCTTTTCTTGGATCCTTTTTTTATTTTGTTTCTGTGGGTATTTATAGAAATGTGCTCGTTGCCAGGTTTGACCTCTAGTACATGTACACGCAGGGGCGGCTCAAACTGATCACTAACCCTGTGCTACAATTATTTTTTTGGCCCTTTATTATACTAAAACTCACATGTTCACCTTTTTTTTGCCCTTTATTAGAAATTTTTTGGCCCTCAATTAGCAAAGAAAAAACAGAATTTGGCCATGTACAAAAGCTCCCCTTGCACACCCATAGAGCCGCCTCTGTGTACACGCGTCAAGATTCTTTCCTAGCGTTATAGTCGTCCTCTTACAGCAAAATCTTCTACTGCTTTTTTTTTTCACTCCTAGATCAACCTACATACAAATACATTATATACATATATACACCCACGAAGAACATTTAAAATTCATTAGATAGACAATCAATCTTATATAAGAAAAAAAAAAACAATCACGGAATGTCGACGAGTCCTAGACGAGTCATGTTCTACAAGATGACATAAACTGATCGACTTTTGTTTCTTTTTCTTTTTTCTTTTTCCTCTTTACATAAACCCACATGCATACACACGGTTCTATAACTTTTTTTTTGGTTTTACGGTTTAACTTTTTTTTTTTTGGCTTTTTCATACCTGATTTTTCCGAAAATGTTAAACTCATGCTTAAACAATTTTTTTGGTGTAAATCTACTCAATCGTTTAAATTTTTTGAATTTCATCCTTAAGTCACCGTCAAAGCTCGTCTATGTGGACGCCACGCCATCTACATCGTCGTTGTTATCGTTTGTTTTTGGCCAATAACTGATCAAAAAATGAGTCTAAAATCACGTGTAAAACTAGGTCCTATTCAGTTTTTACACACTTCGAAATTAAACCCTGGCAAACGATTCAGTTTCCTTCTCTCTATCGTGTTAGACCAACAATAACGAAAGTGAGTCCTTGGAACAAGAGGAAGTAGAAGTGGATCCCTTGCGCAGACAACAAGCTTCTCACTGAGGCTGCCAAGAGGATAAACACGAGAGCGATTTCTGTTCTGTACAAACGGTTTCTTTTAGTTTTCCCAGCTTTCTTTGCTGCTCCTAGTTTGCTAAGCTCGGTTACACCTGAATCAGAGGATGATCTTTGGATGCTTGTGGGCTCGACCTGAGAACCTGACTCTGCATATGCTACCAGATCAGCCTCAGAGGACCTCCCCAGCTTTTTGGTGACTACCCACTCGTAAGAACTTCCAAACTTGAACAAACCAGAGATCATGGCTCCAAATTTGGTAACCGACATGGTGTTTTCAAACAGGAGATACGGGACTATGAAAGGGAAGGATCTTGGGGCTGGGATGATGTTTAAGATGGACATGATCACGGGTATGTAGCAAACAACCCAGGATGGTAAGTTAGCTTCTAGGAAGAACATTGTTAATGGAAGAATGACGCAGAAGAGAGTGAATGAGTAGTATGGCAAGATAAGCTTCCGTAGCAAGAAGAAGAGAAATATCATATTTGCTTTCTTGGCAACACTCACCTACAGTAGGGAAAATACGCAAAAACAAAGATTATGCTGAGCCATTTTTTATTTACAAAACTATGAACATAGTTTTCAACTTCACCTTTGAGCGAAGAATGTCCATGAAACACAAACGGAACAGTTGCATTGGACCTGAATGCCAACGGTGTTGCTGTTTTTTGTATGCTTCATAAGACTCTGGAAGTTCACAAAGACAATGTATGAGGGGAAAACAGACACTGTTTTCAAATCCCTAAATTGACTATCGAAGAATTGAAGAAAGAGAAGAAGTGTCGAGGGGTTGAAGAAAAACATCAAAAGATGTCGTTTTTTTATTTGGCCAAACGACGTGGTTTTGTCAATATTTTTAACAAACTTCGACATTCAAAACGATGACGACGTAGGTGACGTGGTATCCACGTAGACGAGCTTTGACGGTGATTTAACTCTCATTGGACGGAAATATGTTTTCGCACAAAAAAATTTTTTTAAGGTTGAAATTCAAAAAAAATAAATGATTAAGTAGATTTACACCAAAAAAATTGTTTAAGCATGAGTTTAACATTTTCGGAAAGATCAGGTATGAAAAAGCCAATTTTCCAGGCATATGTTTTTTTTGTAATCTTTCAGTGGGTGTTACTTCACTGTTATAAACATTTTAAACAACTGATTTTCTTTTAATTGGAAGACCCATGATTTAGATGCGTATTCAAGTTTATTGTTAGATTGTTAGATCTATGTAATTTATTCAACATTGTTACAATTGAGCAAAATGTTTGATAAATATTATATTGTTATAACACATATCATATATGGACTCTTATACCGGCCTATTATGCCCATCAGGGCATTGTACTTAACCTAGATTCCTTATGTACTCTATATATACATTCCAGTGATTAATAAAGTTTCTAAGTTTTCACAACACGTTATCAGCACGATAAGACTCTCTGAGCGAAAAACCCCAATAAATCCGGCCACCACCAAAACCCTAAAAGCAAGTCGAAACTTAAAAGACGCATATCTTCCAAACCGTGAGGAACCAGAAGACGATCTACATATCAAATCGAAGCCCTCGACGAGACGAATCTACTGGTGAAAACCGTTTGTCGATCCAACGTCGGACGCGCCCTCACGCACACTTACAGTACACGACGATCAACCGAAAAAAAAAAAAAAACCAGATCCGAGTTTTTCCTTCTTCAACCAGCAGCTTCTCCAGTTTTGGTGATCAATCCTTGGAATTTGTAGCGGCTAACTGAGGTCTATTAGCTCCCAGTTTCATTAGCCTGTCAGAAATCCAAAGGTGGAAAAGGTATCTTCTAAAACTGAGAGCCATAGAACCTGTTGTTTAAACACTTCAAAACCCTATAAAAAACAAAAAAATCGATCTCTAATTGATTGAAAGTGTTTGATACTCTGATGATTGATTGATAACTTGTTGATTGATTGTTTAAATTACAAGTTTATGCATGTTCAAAGGTTTTAAACTCGTTTTATAAAACCCTAATCTACAAAAACCTAACAACCGTTTTTGGCCATGTTTATGGCATAAACCTATTCGATTTTCTTCATGTTTAATAAGCTTGTTGCAGCTTATTTGATTGTTGATTCTCTTGCTTGAAACACTTGATTGAATAAACTAAGAAAATCAACCCTAAATCCTAAGCTTGATTCACGATTTTGTAATCTTCAAAATCGTAAGTCATAATGCTTAAACCCTAGTCCTTTTCACGTGATTTCTTTGTTGTCCTTGTGAAATTATTAAAACCATCGACCACAGATCCTATAGATCTCGAAATCACATCCAAAATATGTTTTCCAAACCGTTAAAACCCTAGATAAAACCCTAATCATATTCGGCTCCCCTAGGGTTCCTCCTAAACCGCCTAAAACCGGCTAAACCTGGTTCTCATTAACCGAAATTATATTCGGCTTTAACCGATTAAATCACAGCTATTAAACCGACATCATGTTCGGGGTAACTAAAACCATACCCTTTAAAATTTACTATTTCCGAGAAAGTTCCCTCTAATAGAAAGTTTCCTCATATAAAAACTTTCCTCATATAGAAATTTTCCCGACATAGAAACTTTCCTCATTTAGAAAATTACCCAAATTAGAAACTTTCCAAATTTAGAAACTTTCCTAAAATAGAAATATTCTCAAAATAGAAAGTTTCATCATCAGCATTCAAAATTTTCTCAAAACAATCCCTAACAAAATCAATCTCATGTTTCAGATGTCAAACATTCAGACATGTGAATTCGAGGCCCTTCACGTCTCTGGGGATAACTACCTCGAGTGAGCCCTAGACATGCGCTTGTTCCTTGCATCGAAAGAACTCGATGCGTGTATTACCGACGGTAACACCGCATCCCGTAAGGGACAGTCTCAGGCGATATGTCACATACGCCATCATCTGGCCCCGAGCCTTAAGCAGCAATATCTCACTCTTGAGAATCCACTTGAATTGTGGCAAGCGCTGAAAAAGCGATATGACCATCAGAAAATGGTCCAGTTGCCTCAGGCAGATTTCGACTGGAAGAACCTTCGGTTCCAGGACTACAAATCCGTAGATGATTACAACAACGAACTCTTTCGTATTGTTGCCATCCGGAAACTCTGTGGCGAGGATGTGACAGATAATGATCTCCTCGAGAAAACATTATCCACATTCAGCACAGAGAATGTTGTGCTCCAACAACAATACCGTGCAATGAAACACACATTGTACGAAGACTTGTTGTCCTGTCTTCTCCTCGCTGAGAAGAATAACCAGCTGCTTATGAGGAACAGCGCTATGAGGCCCCCGGGATCGGCTCCTGTCTCAGCTTCTTGTCAAGAGTCCTACCATGTTCAACCCGATAGATCCTCAGATCACCGCCGTGGACGTGGTAATGGACGTGGTAATGGCCGAGGACATGGACGTGGAAGACAAGGACGCGGACATGGTCGTGGCAACCGACCTAACCTCAGTTATGGTCCTGGTCGTGGTCGAGGCATCACCAAGCCGACCCGCCACACCAACCCCGATCACTCTGCTTGTACCAGATGTGGGATGTTCAACCACCCAACAAAGCAATGTCGCACCCCCAAGATCCACTGCGATCTATACCAGAAGTACGGAAAAGCTCCTGCTGAAGCCAACATGACTCAGCCAGTCGATGCTGCTAACCTGGAAGGTGACGACCTCCTTGATGATGAGAACACCACAAACGAGCAGACCGACCTCATGGACTATGAAACAGCTGATCTCCTCGATTAATTCAATCATCTGAAACTCTGATACAATTTGATTTTGTTCTTTATTTTTTTCATTTTGGGATTTGTTTCATTTTTTATTTTCCATTTGCTTTTATTCTCAGACACTGCTTTACTTTATGATTTATCACATTTTCTGAATTCCTCAATACTGAATTCTATCTTCTATTCATAATAAAGCACACCAGCAAATGGAAACCATAGTCGTAGATAGTGGATCCAGCCACACTATCTTAAGAAACAAAAGTTACTTCATAAACCTAACCTATCAAACCGCAAATATTAGCACCATCGCGGGTCTCTCAAACCTTATCGAAGGATATGGCCATGCCTATGTGTTGCTATCAAATGGCACACAATTTGAAATACCAGATGCTCTATATTCTCCTAGTTCGAAGAGAAATCTTCTGAGCTTCAAGGATATAAGACAGAATGGTTTCCACATAGAAACCCAAGGTCAAGGGAACAAAGAATCCCTCCTAGTCACTAAAACCGTAGACAGCCATAAACAAATCCTCGAAACCATACCCGCGCTCTCTACTGGACTTTACCATGCTAAAGTCAGTATGATTGAAGCTAATACCACTCTCAAAGCCCGGTTTACTGATTATACTATTTGGCACGACCGGCTCGGTCATCCCGGTGCAAATATGATGCGTAAACTAATTCAAAACTCTCAAGGGCATACCCTCAAAGAAAACCGAGCTTATCCTCAACACCTCATGTGCACAGCTTGTTCTCAAGGCAAATTGATCACTCGGCCTTCACCAGTTAAAATCTCTAAACAAACACTTCATTTCCTAGAAAGAATCCAGGGCGATATCTGTGGACCTATACATCCATCTTCCGGACCATTCCGGTACTTCATGGTCCTTATAGACGCATCGACCCGTTGGTCATATGTTTGTCTCCTGTCCTCTCGGAACCAAGCCTTCGCTAGGTTCTTGGCCCAAATCATAAAATTGCGGGCTCATTTCCCTGACTTCCCACTAAAGACTATCCGCCTTGACAATGCTGGTGAATTTACCTCAAAAGCGTTTAATGACTACTGTATGGCCATGGGGGTAACCGTGGAACATCCTGTAGCACATGTCCATACTCAAAATGGATTGGCTGAATCATTCATTAAACGCATTCAATGGATAGCCTGACCATTACTCATGAGATCAAAGCTCCCGGCCTCAGCATGGGGACATGCAGTATTACATGCTGCTGAACTCATACGCATCCGGCCATCTAGTGAACACAAATATTCCCCATCCCAACTACTCTCGGGTCATGAGCCAGACATCTCCCATCTCAAAACATTTGGGTGTTCAGTTTATGTACCCATTGCTCCACCACATCGAACCAAAATGGGACCTCAACGAAGGATGGGAATATATGTTGGTTTTGACTCTCCCACCATCATAAGATATCTCGAGCCAACCACTGGAGATCTCTTCAAGGCCAGATATGCGGATTGCCAATTCGATGAATCGGTATATCCCTCTTTAGGTGGTGAGACAAACAAGCTGGTCAAAGATCTTTCATGGAATCAAACATCATTAAATTGGCAAGATCCTCGGACTCTAGAATGTGATTAAGAGATCCAAAATATTATTCATTATCAAAAGCTAGCTAATCAATTGCCAGATTCCTTTGCTGACCCGACCAAAGTAACCAAATCGTACATCCCAGCTTGTAATGCACCAGTACGAATAGCTGTCCCAACGGGACAGACCTAAGTTGCTACAGAGTCTGCACCACGTCTCAAACGGGGCAGACCTCTCGGTTCCAAAGATAAGAATCCCCGGAAACCAAAGAAAGGTGCAATAACCGAAACCGGGATTCCTGCAATATCAGACATAGCCGCGGCTGAGACTCAATCTAATGAACCCTCAATGGAAGTTCGGGACGCCGAATCTCCAGGTTCAGAAGATAACAATGAGATCTCCATCAATTACAATATGTCCGGAATACAATGGAATCGAAAAGAAGTCGACTTAAATGCACTCTTTGCATTCAAAGTAGCACTTGATGTTGCGCTCACGCAAGAGGATCTAGAACCCACGTCAATAACACAGTGTACACATCGAACAGATTGGCTAAAATAGAAAGAAGCCATAAACGTGGAGTTAAAGAGTCTCAAACTCAGAAACGTGTTCGGTCCGATCATCCGGACCCCATCACACATCAAGCCAGTGGGCCACAAATGGGTCTTTGTGCGCAAAAGGAACGAACTCGGTGAAGTCGTTCGATACAAAGCACGGCTTGTAGCACAAGGATTCTCACAGAGACCCGGAATCGATTATGAGGAGACTTATTCTCCAGTGGTGGATGCAACAACATTCCGATTCCTCATAAGTCTGGCCATAAGAGAAAATCTTGATCTGCGGTTAATGGATGTTGTAACCGCATATCTCTATGGGCCCCTGGACAACGAAATATATATGAGACTCCCAGATGGCATTGAACTAAAAGACAAAAATGCATCTCGAGATCAATACTGCATCAGGCTGAACAAATCCTTGTATGGACTGAAACAAAGTGGGCGTATGTGGTACAACCGCCTCAGCGATTACCTCATCAAAGAAGGCTACAAAAATGACCCCATCAGTCCATGCATCTTCATCAAGAAATACTCAAACAAAGGATTTGTAATCATAGCAGTATACGTGGATGATCTAAACATCCTCGGAACATCTGGTGAGATCTCCCAAACAGTCGACTGCTTAAAAGCAGAATTCGAAATGAAAGACCTAGGCAAAACAAAGTACTGTTTGGGATTACAACTTGAGTACATCAAAGGAGGAATCCTTGTGCATCAATCGGCTTATATCGAAAAGGTACTCAAGCGATTTAATATGGACCAAGCTCATCCATTGACCAGCCCAATGGTAGTTAGAAGCTTAAGTGATGACCCTCTTGGTCCCAAAAAGGATGATGAAGAAATCATTGGTCCTGAAAAGCCATACCTCAGTGCTGTAGGAGCGTTAATGTACCTGGCTAGTCACACTAGACCAGACATATGTTTCGCCGTGAACCTCCTCGCTCGATATAGTTCATCTCCAACTCAGAGGCACTGGAACGGTATAAAACATCTCCTAAGATACCTTCGAGGTACTCAAGACTTAGGACTCTTCTATACTAACCAAAATAAAGATGGGTTAGTCGGCTTCGCCGATGCAGGATATCTATCAGATCCGCACACTGCCAAGTCTCAAACTGGCTACGTTTTTACGCATGGAGGAACAGCCATCTCTTGGAGATCAATGAAGCAGACACTCACTGCCACTTCATCAAACCATGCTGAAATCCTAGCCATTCATGAGGCTAGTAGGGAATGCGTCTGGCTGCGCTCCATGACTCAGCATATCCGCAGAGATTGTGGTATGGACGAAGACACACAGCCCACGGTGATGTATGAAGACAACGCGGCATGCATAGCTCAGCTCAAGGAAGGATATATCAAAGGAGATCGGACGAAGCACATTCTACCGAAGTTCTTCTCAACCTCAGACTGGCAGAAGGACGGCACTCTCAGCGTTCAGCAGGTCCGATCCAGTGAGAATTCAGCTGACCTCTTCACCAAATCATTGCCTACTTCAACACACCGGAAGCTCGTCAAACAGATAGGAATGTATAGACTTAGAGATCTGCAGTGATGCTACAATCAGGGGGAGTAATGCGTGTTGTACTCTTTTTCCTTCACCATGGTTTTGTCCCACTGGGTTTTTCCTGGTAAGGTTTTAATGAGGCAACATTCCCCAGCGCATTATCGAGATCCCGATTGAGTAGCTGACCCGGTTCACTCGTCCAAGGAGGAGTGTTATAACACATATCATATATGGACTCTTATACCGGCCCATTAGGCCCATCAGGGCATTGTACTTAACCTAGATTCCCTATGTACTCTATATATACATTCCAGTGATTAATAAAGTTTCTAAGTTTTCACAACATATATTTAATTTATATTTATATTCAACATTCTTTCTAGTATTTTTTGTTTCGGAATCGTTTCCATATCACTTTATTATTTAATAAAAAAAAAAAAACAAATCAGTTACATTACATCCTTACCAAATCACATGGTTTCTTTCCACACTCAAATAGCTATCACATTAAATCGCATTTGGTATTAAGAAGAGAAGATAAGACGCGGTAAGTTAGCCGGTTCCACTGGCCTACCCTAGATCGGGTCCGACTAAAAGAGAGAAGACAAGATTAGAGTTAGCACTTCACCGGTACACCTTATCCTAGAGCCGACCATGACTACTGAGTGACGATAAGACATGAGGTAGCCGGTTCTTGGCAGTTTTAGACGGGTTAATACTTACATGGCATGCAATCGGCAAATTGGCTAATGATTAGGTCGTAGTTAGACCGGGCTGGTCCGGTTTCCAATACATTTTACAGTTAATAGAACACGGCACGGCACTAGTATTTAAAGAAATCCAACTTCTTATTAGAGCAAAATTATCAGGATTTGGATCGAGAGGAAGCCATTTACATTCGGCCTTCTTCTCAAGACTTTGAGTCTTTTACTTATACTTGGTTCAGATTCATCCAGTGGTGATTTCAGTCTTGCGCATCCATCATCAGCGATTCTACTCTTCATATGACTCAATATCTTGCTTCATACTTGTTTCACAAATTATGTCTTGTTTGTATTTGCATTTGTATTTTTATTTCATGTTTTGCTAAATTTGCATTGTAGTTCCAAATGTTTGCCCTTTTGTGGAAGAAGATGAATAAAGTAGGTTTTTTAAAATAAAAATAAAAAAGAACATTGTAGCTGTAATTATTGGCTATTGGTTATACTAACAACATAAACAATACAGAATATGTTTAGAGAGAAACATAGATACAATTACAAAGCGTAGAATACAACATATGTAAATCTAAATCGATCTTAGTGGATATAAAACTTTAAGCACCAGTCTCTCTTTCCCTTTTAGCATCTGCAATTACACAAAAAAAAAAAAAAAAAAAAATTGGTTCCAAGTTCAAACTCATCACACAACGTATGATCCGGTTGGATTAAGTTTGATAAATCAGAAATCCCGGTCTGTTCTAAGCATGATATTCAACAACCTTAACCGACCATTTAGGAGTAACTAAGAAATCAGACAAAACTATCACAGACCAGTCCGGTAAGGATCCGGTTTCATTAATTTACCTGGACCACACCGAATAGAGCACTTGCGATCGCATCGGGCCGTTTTCCTCGCTGGAAAAAAAAAAGAAGAGAGATTAAACTTTAAAAGAGATCTCTGTTTAAGATCCCGAGCCAAAACTAATCTCCAAAGTTTTGTAGCGCCGAGGGATTAAGAAAGGAGAGAGAGAGAGAGATAGAATACTCACAGTCGCGCTGGACGCAGGCGGTGGAACAACCGTCGTAGCAATCTCCGGGGCCTAATTGAGCCTCCGCCACCATATCCAAGTTGGAAGATAAAGCCACCAGAATCAGAAGAGCTGCCACTATAGTCACTTGCTGCTTCTTCATCATCATTCTCTCTTTGATTTTGTTTTTCTGTTTTGTTTTTGTGTTTCCTTCTCTCTCTCCAAATGTGAGCTTTTGTGGGTACTTATAGAAATGTCGCCGTTGCCAGGTTTGACCCGTAGTCCATGTACACGTGTTATGATTCCTCTCCCGACGTTATCTATCCCTTTAATATTGTCTACTGCTTTCTCTTTTCCTCCACTATTTTAGATCGAGGCTCTACCAATACCATTTAATGGACTAACAAATGGTTGTTCCCATTACGTAATAGATTTTTTTTCTTTCTCCAACACATATACATTAGATCTCATCTAAGTGAATACGTCATACAGAAAGCATATATAAACCCATTAAAAATAACTAGACAATTAGGACTTCTTTTTTCATGAACAATTGGTAACATTGGAACAAGACTCCGATCAATAGTAAGGAAAAATCTGACAAGAAAAGTACAAAATACAATTTGGAGCCCATAATATTCGTTTTTAAAAGTTAACACATCAAATATCTTTTAATTAACAGAGTAATAGACAATGTATTTTTCAAATTTAAAATCATAAACAGGATTTCTTTTTAATTAATAGCTTTTTAAGATACCTATCAAGTTGTATTTTAATATTGCAGTCACGGTGAAAATAGAAAGACGCGCGTTGTCCAATATCACCATCTAGTAGTCCATACTCTTAAAGCCTAAACACCAATTCAAGTAATCAGATGGATTTTTTAAACCCTCATATCTATTCAATGTTTCTATTATCTATTACTACGGTAGACTTTAATTGGTGATGATTGAGTCACGGGACACCTCTATTATTTACTGCTGAGAGATTTCCCTGGTCAACTTCTTTGATATTCTTATTTGTCTCAATGTGGTCCGATGTCGTAGCACTCTTTGCTTCCTTCATTTTACACCATACCACGAGGTATACTCCTCCCACCATTATCATTGCACCAATTATACTGTATTTTTCGCAAAATAAATACCGAATGAGATTCACGTATTACATATATATCGTACACAAAAACCTCTAGTTGATAGAACACATGCACGAGTTTGGTGTTATACCTACCTTCCCAAATGAAGCGGTTCCTCTAAAGCAAATGATCCGACAAGGGCTACGATCAGCAGCCTTATGGGGCTAAACACCGTAACATATAACGGTCCTTTTTTTTCAATACACCATGCAACAAGAGGCATGACCATTCCTGAAACAACTACTCCCTACACATCGCGGACAAGATACTAAAAGACGTGTATCACAACACAAACGTATATAAGTACGCAATAAGACGCATTTGGATATATTGTTCATTTTCTGTTACCGCATAAACCGTAGTAAGAAGGCTAATGTTCCATCCTAATCGCCATTGCTTCCAGTTACGATCCGAACAGAGAGCAACAACTATGCACACCAAGCTTCCCATCGCATTCATCATACATATGTTCCAATATTGTCCTCCAAGTTGCTTGCCTATTTTTGCCTGCTAAAATAAAACATAGTCCGTTTCTTGAAACATTTTATCAACGTACGTTTCTTGAAACATGATTGTTATAAATAGTATTTTTCTTTTTTACTTTTATTTGTCACCATCTTTAATTCTACTATTTTGCTATATTAAAATTAAATATAAATGATAATATGTGTAGAGAAAAGTATGTATGTAAAAAAAAAAGTACGTATGTATATATTACTTCACTGCAAAGAAGAGGTATATGAATCAATTTTTTTACCAAAAAAAAAAAGAGGTAATATGATCAATTTCTATCAAAATTTGGGACGCAAACATGTTTGAAGATAAAATCATAACTAGGGGTTTTTTTTTGTTACCAGCACAAACGATGCATCTCAAACTATCCAACCCCAATTGCAATTCCGAAATTAATTGCAGTCGGATCAATATACTTTTAAAAGCAAAACTAGCCGAGGGATGATATATATATCGAGGAGAAAAATAAAAAGTAGCACTTGCCTGCAATATTAACCAAAGTGAGAAGGAAACGTTACAGCCAAAAACCATAAGAATCCCTGGGATTGAGATGTGGTGGTTCGAAGTGGCTTGGCCATTTGATTGATTCGAGCTTTTAAGTAAGTCAACGTGTGTTGACCATAGATGAATCTCAACACCTTTATAGAGTACAAACACGAGGGCCCCACCGGCACCAAGCAGCGTCCCCACCAGCTTAGCCCTCCCTTCGTTCGATCCCAGCCGTAGAGTTTCCATCCTGTCGGTCCAACGACAAATCGAACGGATGTTAGATAAGAATGAAGGTTCTCGTCCAACGACAACTTCAAATATGATTTAATTAGCCTTTCAAGTTCTCGTCAACTAAATTATCTATTGTGAAAGTTTGTAGTTTTCATTCCAGTTGACACTATATTTCTAAATTATGTACCCATACATAGTAATTAGTATTTAGTTATAAAGGTGTAATTTTCCAACAATAATAGATGAATTAACGGGATATGCTTGATCCTTTGAATTTTTTACTAATATGCCTAACAAATATAAATCAAGATAGTTTATTTGAATTTAATGTTAAATTTTATTCAAACAAATAAAAATCATTTTTACAAAGAATCATCAATTTTTTGAAGTTTTCTATAGCTAATTTAAACTAGAAACAAGAGTAAAATTTTCATCTTGTATCAAATCAAAAAATGCATCAATATATGTTTTATTTATTACCTTTAATTATTGATTTTTTAATTTATAAAAGGATTTCAGATTCATAAGAACCTCTAGAAAACACTAAGAATACTAAATTTATATGCAAACATTAAGAACGTCTTTCTTCAAAAAACGAAAAAAAAAAACTTTATAACACATATATACTCGTGCAACCAAATGAATAAATCATACCTACTGAGGAATGGTTTAGAGTTTAATGTGCCTTACCTAAAAACCATTGACAATACCAAGGTGATCAACGGACCAAGGATACTGGCTGCAGTCGAAAATGTAGCTGATGTAAGCGTCATACCCGGCAAATAGAGGATATTTGGTATCGCCGCTCTGTAATGTAGCCAAATACATATGAAGGGCATATTCCATGAACTTCCATGTATATATCTAATATTTCTTAGTTATTCGCCATGTAACAATAATTTCATGTGTGCTCTAGCTATATTCAAATGATATTTATTGTATTAGTGCTGAGTACCCGAGCAATCCCGATAGAAATGCTTGTAAGAGCAGCTTCCATGTAAATTCTGGCCGCTTCTTCCTAATCACGTGGAATCCAAAACAAAACATTTCATTAAAGTGTGAGTATAACATTTGACTTTTTATGAAATGTGAATACACACAAATGACTGAATGAATATAATATATTGGATGCCAAATTCTAACATTGTAATATGTATTTTGTTTTCTTTATTTGTCCAAACATGTGTTTAAATCCGGTTTCGCATAGATAAGGTTATATTAATTAACAAACTGCATACAAATGACAAGGAAAATTTATGTACAAATAAAGGAAACCTTTGGAAGATGAGGGCCAGGGGGAGCATGAAAAGAGTAGCGAAGACGAGACGATAAGCCACAAGGACTCTGAGATTTGTACCATCATCGGCTGTTAGCTTAAATAAGACGAACATTCCTGCGAAGATAAACTGAACCACCAGCAATGCAATTATAGCCTTCACGTCCTCCCACATTTCTCCAATTCGCCCCACAATTTATATATTTTACTTGGATACACAGTGGAACCATTAACTATCCTTTGCTCCTGAGCCCTTGATCAGCTTTATTTATCTAGCAGCCAAAGTGTTTACTTTTTTACTTCCATCCCTATACTTTTTTCATTGTGCTCCACTTCAATTTTCGTTACCATGAAAAAAAAATTGAGTGATGTAAGAAGATGTGAAACTCAAGTAAATGCTTATGGAAACGAGTGACTAAAGTAGCAAAGTTTTTAAGGATTAAACCTTCTTATTCTTGAGTGTGTAGAAAAACAGAGATTATGTATCAAAATGTACATTCATGATGAAAGAGGAAAGTAGTATACGAAGTGAAGAGATTATACAAAAAGAAAAGAGAGCTATTTATTGTCGCTCTAATACGAATATAATGGACCTCCACAAGATCTCAAGAGTGTAGCGTTGCACCATTTGGAAAAGCATCAAAAAAAGAGGCAAAAGCATCTTTCTCTTATTCTAACGCTAATGCGTTTTACTATTTTAGCCAAAATGACAATGCAGCAACATGTTCGGTGGTGTAGCGACTAATATCTTAAAACATTAATTGTAAATTTAAACAAGATCCAAATAAAAGCAACATCTTGGGTTGATGTTGACACGTGCTAAGCATGCTCTGTGCTTCCCTTCCGTGGCTTTCAACACATACACCAACTCCAAAAGAGAGAAAAAGGCTACTAAGTCATTAACGTACACTTGGTAAATTACCAAATTTGAAAATTTGGGTTTGGATTCTCTTCAATTAATTTACTCTTAATTTTTTTTTTTTTGTGTTATGCATAATTTTTGATAGATGATAATTCCATTAGTTTATCTGACCACGTCTTTGATGGCAATTTTATAATCAGGCGATACCATTATACCAATGAAAAGCAACTATGCACATACATATATTATAAGATTAAAAAATAAATATATTCATACTAACTTACCCAAATTAACGATAAAATTACACAATGCTTAAGAAAACAAAATCAAAGAAATGATAATTTTTGAGGGGCAATTCTTTTAATCTTTTTTTTCCTTTCATTTATTTTATTTTTCTATAGTTTTCATTTCTGCCGGGGAGCTGCCTTTGCTACCACTAGCTACGAAATTCTCGAATGATTTTTGGGTTTGGATTTCCTCCAATGGAACTAGCCCACTCATCTTTTTCTTCATCTCTTTATGTTTTCCCCATAACACAACATACAACCCACATACAATCAATATTGCTCCTAGTACACTGAAATTTTGAATTAGTATGTGGATATATATATATATATATATAGTTATAAATCCTAACAAAATATGTTGCATTTGAATTTACCTTCCCAAGTAAAGCATTTCGTCCAAGAACAAAGTACCAGCCAATGCGACAATTATGAGCATGAGGGGGTTGAAGGCGGCTACAAACAATGGCCCCCTTAGCCTTAAACTAATCGCCGTTAGTGTTACTATTAGTGCTGTTCCCAATGTTCCCTAATTGTTTTAGTTCCAAGCGTTCATTTGTTAATAGTTATAATTCAGTACTAAGAAGTGTGTTGCCCAAAAAAAAGAGCACATACCGAATATGCAACGGTCCATAACCTAATGTCCCACCCGAGCTTCCACTGCGACCAATCTCTCTCCACGCACAATGCATAGACAGTCGACTGAAAGAAAGCCATAACGCTCATTAATCCCGTGCTAGCATAATGGCAAGGCAATGTTTCGCTCATCTTTGCCTGTAATTAAAAAATTAACATTTAGACAAGAAAAAAAAACAATAAAATCAGACATATGTTTAGGGGTTATCGTAATGAGAGACAAACGGACCAAGCCCAAGCAAATCCGTTTTCAACTCGGTCCATTTTGAGCTTTCATTTTTTATAATACCGGTTCGGCCTTGAATTTGGCTCGATCGTTTGCTCGGCCATCGGTCTCATTTAAGAAATTGAAATATGGGTCTGTCTAACACAACAGACCCTAGTGGGATTGCATGTTGCTCACTTGTATGATGATCCATATAGCATTGGAGACACATCCAGCGAGGGCCAAACAGGCTCCCAAGACATGGCGATCAGATTTTGGCAAAGCCACATGGCTAGTGTTATTGTGGGGAAGAAGATTAATGTCGGACTTCAAGAAATCAATGGAAAAGCCTTTGTAGAAGGTGAACAGCATCACCCCACCTAAGCCCACTAATGTCCCGAATACTTTTAATTTCCCTTCTGCTGTCTCAAACTCTAATTTCTCTAACCTGTGATACAACAATACATCATATGCAAAAAAAAAAAATTTACGCGCGTTTTATAGTACATCCGCCTAAATCGTGATCTTAAAATATTGTAGATAACTGATGAATTGTATCAAAACAAAATTGTTAGTGCAGTTGTTTTAAATTTAATGAATCTATGTTTTCTAAAGTTATTAAAGTTAACAAAAGGAATAGATTAAACAATGACCAGTAAACATACGATTGATCATTAAATTAAATCCTTGAAAAAATGTCTCCCATAACTCCCTTTTAATAAAATTAAAGATATACCCATGTATACACTTTGAGATTTATATTACCTTACCGAGATGCCAACAACGAAAGTTATGGCGGGTAAAAGATTAGTCACGGCAGACATGAACGTGGCCGACGTTAGTGCCATACATTCCAAATATAGATTGTATACTAGTGCTCCCCTGCAATATCATGTATTTATGGTTTTTGAGTTTATAACTGAAAAAACTGTAAATAATGTCAACATCCTGCGATTATACGTATTCGACTCGAATATAGGGCTCCGCAAAATTTCCACACCAAACAGAACCGTCTCAAACCGAAAGATATTCCAACCCAAATTCGAACCAAATTATAAATTTATATCCGAAAGAAATAGAAGCTTTATATTGTTTATTTTGGAAATTATTGGGTTAGGGGCATAATTTGTAGGGAGTGTGTGCTCAGAAGTTGAAATGAACCTTGAATAGTGTATAAAAGATTTGAGTCAATCCACTTACGAAAATTCAATAAATTTAACAATGTACATTAGTTTTAAGTTAATTAAGGTATGGAATATCTTAAATTGTTTACCCGAATAACCCACACAGGAAGCCTTGAATGATAGTTTTCCATGACATTGTTAGTCCTTTTCCCCTGTAAGAAAATTAAAATCACATATTAATAGAGTCGTTTAGTTAAACATCAAAGACTTTCAAATAAAACAAAACGAATGGTTTGCATAACAAAGGCAGATCAGCAGATGATAAAGCCCTTGTGTAGAATAGGCATAAAATGCAAAATGTAGGTCTTAATTTATAACATTTAGTATTCCGTGACAACACATACAGGTAAATGTAGGTCTCTTATTTTACTAAATTTAGTATACCGGGACAACACGTAGTTAAGTTCCGGGATAAGGATATCATATACTATCCATAAAACAGGACTAAAAATTAGACATTAGGTTTATTATATATCTTCAAGAAACGGGCATCTTTTAAAGAACGATGCCCTTAATTACTGTTGAGTGTAATAAATTTACACATATTTATCATTAGAGTTATTTTTCTAAACTTTTTTTGTTGACCATGTATGTAATTAGAGTTCCATATTATCTACTAAAAACTTCTTAGAACACAAAATAAAAAATTGTACATGGCCACTACTATAAAACGGATCATGCAAGTGGAGTGAACTTGCCGGTTGAAGAAGAAAGCAAGAGGAACCATAATCGCGCTGGAGAGGAGGAAGCGGTAAGAAATAAGGACAGGTACACTCACGCCACTGCTTATGGCTAACTTGAAGAAGATATTGACTCCCGCGAGAGCCACCTGAACCACCAGCATTAGTACCACTGGCTTCATCCCATTTGCCAAGGCCATTACTTCTCCAGAAACGAACTTGTTTGATTATGAGCAATGATCTAATTGTATGTGGCCTCTATTTATAAAATACTATAAGTCTTAGGTGGACAGCCGGCCCACGTTCTACATCAATACATATATATAGACACGGACAAGCAACAAGAATTATTAATTCAACTCTATGTTTTAAAAACATTGACTTAAGACTTGAGTTTTTGTCCAAAAACCAAATACTGGTCTTTTAAAATTTCCTTATTCATATCCATTATTAACTACAAATTTTGATTAAATTAAATTTTAGTACCCTGGTTACTTAAAATATGCTCAATGTGATATTAATCGACACCAAGGATCCGTAAGGATGGTTAGAGCAGCGGAAGCGGAAATATTTAGTTAATGTTCCCTTGATTAATATTGCAACTAAAGCGACTGATGATAGCACTATATATTCGGAACTGGTCAATCTGATCTTTTCCCATTTTTTTGTCACCCTGATCTCTTATCCTTTATTGTACTCGCATTTTTCGTCATTTTTAGATTTTTTTTTAGTTCTATATTGTACACAGGATCTAGTTTTAACTTTTAACTTTTATTCACGACCAAAATCATACTTGTAACTTTTGTACGTCAATTATTTTACCTTAAAACTAGTTTTGCAAGCTTTACTGTTAAATTATTACTCTTAATGGCAAGGTATGTATACAAATTCTCTTGATGCAAGGTAACTTTCCCTTATAATTGCTACTTTTGTAGTGATAGGACTAGTTAGGTTCTCTAAAATTGCATTATCAATTTGATGACTTCATTTCATTCCCTTAACAACAAAAAAAGCTATACAATTAAACATTAGTTGATTTTTCTTTAAACTGATCATTTAAGGACAAGACATCACCGCTTCCTTTCTTTCACTTATACCATTTTCTTTCATTTTCATTTCTTCCGAAGAGTCGCCATTGCTACCACTGACAACAATGGTATCAAGTGATTTTTGTACTTCGATTTTCTCCGATAAAACTAATCCACTCAGCTTTTTCTTCATCTCATTATGTTTTCCCCACAACACAGCATATAATCCACATACGATCATTATTGCTCCCAGTACACTGAAAATTTGAAAATATTATAAATACATGTATATAAATCCAAAATAATAGTATTGCATTATACCTTCCTAAGTAAAGCTTTTCATCCAAGAACAAAGCCCCAGCCAAGGCGACAATTATGAGCAAGAGTGGGTTGAACGCGGCTACAAAGAGTGGTCCCCTTAGTCTCGAACTAATTGCCATTAGTGTCACTACTAGTGCTGTTCCCATTGTTCCCTAGTTGTTTTAGTTCCAAACGTTCAGTTATTACTAATAGTTAGTATCAAATTTAGGAAAAATTTAATAACATATACTATATCACAAAAAAATGTCACAGAATAAAAGGTGGATACCGAATATGCAATGGTCCATAACCTTATGTCCCACCCGAGCTTCCATCGTGACCAATCTCTCTCTACGCATAATGCATAGATAGTCGATTGAAACAAAGCCATTATGCTCATCAACCCTGTGCTCGCGTATTGGCATGGTACTGTTTCGCTCATCTTTGCCTGTAATTAATGATTTCTTTGTATGAACATAAATAGAAATAACTCTTATATACTGTAACCCATTTTTTAGCATTGGTTCCTCATAACGAGCATAGTTTGAATTTGTCCCATTTTTTAGAAACGGTGCATGTATACGACGGGCTTTGCTTAGCTGAAACATATTGTAGTAGAAACTAAGAGATACATCCAGTCTGAATCAAAACGTAGACCTAAGTAGACTAGAATCGGACCGGTTCTGATTCTATTTAATGAAAAAATGGCCTAGCCAACCCATTCAAAACCGGATCGTTCAGCCCAACACAATAGCCCTAACGAAAATGCATATATATGATGCTTACCTGTATAATGATCCATATAGCATAGGAGAAGCAGCTAAAAAGGGCCAAGCAGGCTCCCAACACACGGTGATCGGACGCCGGCAAAGTCACGTGGCTGGTGTTGGTGCCGAGGAGAAGATTAATGTTGGACTTCAAGAAATCAATAGAAAAGCCTTTGTAAAAGGTGAATAGCATTGCTCCACCTATTCCCACTAATGTCCCGAATACTTTTGCTTTCCCTATAGTTGTTCCAAACTCTAATCTCTCCAACCTTTGATACATCAAGACATACACATAAATATGATGTTATAATATATATACACACAAGTGTATGCTTTCCGATATAATATTAATATATTACCTTACAAATATGCCAACGAGGAAGGTTATGGCGGGTAAAAGATTAGCCACTGCAGACATGAATGTAGCCGACGTTAGTGCCATACTTTCCAAATATAGATTGTGTCCTAATGATCCCCTGTAATATCATTATGTCTAATCAGTTTATAGTTCAAAAAATACAAATAATATTGTTAACCCCTTACATTTTAAAATTGGAATTGGCGTATTGAAATTATAATCTATCATAATTGGTGGTATAAATTAGTGACTACTATTTTTGTTTGTCAACAGATTAGTATTAGTAATTATTATTATTTTAGAATCTTGTCATTCATAAGGTAGACGATCTCATTGAGAAAAACAAAAAGAGGATAACAATAGATGATAACAAAAAGAGGATAACAATAATGTATAGTAGATGTCACCCTATTATTTCATTAGACGCCGTTCGTTGTATATTGATATATTCTCTACTTTATTAGTACCAGTTTTTTGTATTTTCTCTATTTCAACGATTAAATATATATAAAAATACGCAGCACTTGTAAAAAAAAAACAACACTCGTAATATATATATTAGTACGTAACATAACTTTTATATAACCGTATTGTATAAGAGTTTATATGTTTCAATAGGTTAAGGCAAAAATTTATGCTACCCTCCCCCAATAAAATAAGAATAACACCGCATGTTAAACTTTGCATAAATTCTTAAAAAAGATAAATATACTCAGTTTTAAGTTAATTGAAAGATGGAATTATGTACCCGAATAAGCCACACAGGAAGCTCTGGAAGATAATTTTCCATGTCATTTTTGGTCTTTTTCCCCTGTAAAAAACAATCATATATTTTTGTTATTTTTCACCTGAAGTGCAAAATTAAGATCCGGTTCATGCAACTAAACATGATGATTGATGAACTATACAAAGTTTCTGTATCTAAGTAAATTACTGTAGACAAAAGGAAACTTATAACAGGGATTCAGGGAAACAATTTTTTTTTATGTTTTTTGATATTCAGGGGAATCAAGTACCAAAGAAATTGAATAATCATATATATATGTATGACGTAATTTGCTTCTAGTTCAAATTATGGAATTCATATATATAATATACAGACTCTACTGAAGAGAATACATGATAAAAGGAGATACAGTTTGAAGAACTTAATTACCGGTTGAAGAAGAAAGCAAGAGGAACCATAACTGCGGTGGACAGGACGAAGCGGTAAGCGATGAGGACAGGTAGGCTCGCGCCACTGCATATGGCCAACTTGAAGAAGATGCTGCCTCCGGCGAGAGCCACCTGAGCCACCGACATCAGTATCACCGGCTTCATCCCATTTGCTGGAGCCATATCTCCAGAGTCCAAAGAAGAGTGAAGTTGTTTATTTATAACGAGAATTCGAAATCAATAACTACAGTTGTGTGTAAATCGACCAAGTGTATGAGGCTCTATATATAAACAATTAAATATACATGTTCGTGTATGTAAAGGTCAGACCAGAGAACCAAGTGTCTCCGACCAATATGCGTTTTTTTACTTTAAAAATGTGGATTGAAAAGGGAAAAGAGAAATAAATTATTCAGAAAAAAAAATGAAATTAGATTGACTGACTATGAACATACGTCCCAATACGGTTCCGTTTCGGGAAAGAGCGTGGTGAACTTACCCATAACCATGCATTCGCTACGTACTTTCTCATTTAATTCTACAGAACAGTATTACATACATAGGATTCAGACTAACCCAATTTTTTATTTTATGGGGTTACGAAAGAACTAACCAACGCTATAAAATACTTTAGGTGTTAATTGGGTAGCCGGTCAACGTTGTACGTCTATACGTATACAGACAGATAATAATGGAGATTTTAATTTTGATTTTATGACATCAGTTTCCTTATTAGAAAAAGACTACAAGAAATTAATAACATTATTCTTGAAGAACATTTTGGTTGTTCAGTAACATTGACTTAAGAATTTGATTTTTTTGTTTCTATAAACTAAAGACTAGTCTTTCAAATTACCTCATTAAAATCCGTTTAATTTAAACTTTTTCTATTAGTTTTTAATTTTTTGTTTAGTACTGTAAGTGTTTAAAATGTGCTTCTGTAATATTAATCAACTGAATACATCAAGATTGTCAACATGGTTTTTTTAAAAAAAAAATCGAAAAGCAATTCAAGATTAACAATATATAAACTGCATTCATTCACAATCTTACTTATAATCTATCAAAATTCAAAGTCTTTTAGTTAATCACTTTTGTTTTTCTTGTTGATATATCTCATCTTTCTTTGTGTTGGTTTCACATGTTACAATTTATGAGAAACTTGAAAACAAACTATTTCAATCGTAATACAAGTTTGATTCTCCTTTTAAAAAAATAAAAAGATTCTCCTAGTCTTTGTCACTTATTGGATGTATGTCATCATACAACTTGCGAAAAGTGTATCCGGATTTTAAAACTCAAGCTACAAACCAAACTAAAAAAGGTAAACGAACCTTTTGAGCTTCAGGCTAGACCTGAATAATTCACCTCACTTAGATTCATACCCAAAGGCAATTAGGCATTTTATAAGCCATGGCCCATACAGTGGTCATCCTTAATGGGCCTTAAACGCAAAAAATGGCGCGTCAAATCTAACTCCCAGGAGAGGCGCGTGGGGCTTTTTCTCTTCCACTACACGTGACGTCAGGAGAGAGAAATTTCTAATCTGGAACTGTCAAGGCGCTTCTAGTCTCTGCATTTCGTGATTATCCTTCTCTCTCTCTCTTTCCGGCGTCATTTTCCGTCGCCGGTCTCGTAGCCCTAGAATTTGCTTCGTTCCACTCAATTGCTCCAGTTGAAGTTGCAGCCGCGTCGTTATATTATCCGGTAAGGGTTTGTAATCGCCATTGATTTCGTTATCCTTGTCTCCGTTGTCTTGTGTATATTATTATGGCGATCTCGGTCGTGTTTCTATATCAAGATGGTAAATGGATTTTGAGCTTACAGATTTTGCTGTTTTGGCGTTAAAATTCTTCGGAAGTCGGTGAAATTTGATTAATCTTTTCATTTCTGCTGGGGAGTATGATTTCCTCGGTTTTGGGTTAGCTTATTCGATTCAGATTTGATTCATGAGTCGTTAAAGATTCAATTTGAGAGTTGTTTTATAGCTTGGAAATAGAATATGTCAGGATAGCCATTTCTTTATTTATTTTTGATTTCTGGGGAGAAAAAGAAATGATTGGGTTACACAGCTTCCTGTAGTTTATTTCCCTGTGTATATTATAATTGTTCTGGATCTGAGATGTGTCAAAGCAGTTTTGTGCCATGTGAATCAAGGATTCTTGAACATGACGATGGTTTCTTGTTATTTGTTTATTAATTGATTCACTGCCATGTCGCGTGAATGTTCGGTGAAGCACGTTGCTTTAGAATGTCATGTAACGTGTTGGCACATCTTCCATCTTTTTTACTTTATCTGATCCTCTTCATTTCTATTGATCATACACGACTTGGTCTCTCCACTCTACGCATTGATAGCCCTTCTTTTTTATGCAGCAGGTAGGACTTATTTGTTTGGTTGTTCTCTTCATGAAGAAATTGTAGCTGTTTTGACCTTTGATGTTGTTATTTGCCAATTGGAATCCAGTGATTGTGTTATCTAGGCAAGTCTTTTTATCGATGTAAATTTCGTGGTCTTTCGGTTTCTTGGTTATGACTTATGATATACTTTCGACAGTTAATATAGTGAAATGTGTGTTCTTGATAGACATCTCTTGCTTTTCTTTCATGAACTCTTTTGCTAAGCGTGTAGGTTCTTGGTCTTGTTCAGGTGTATTTTCATAAGAAAATGGGCAAAGCTAGAAGAGCGAGACGCAGGATTTCTGCTCGACGGATCAGAGCAAGGCCATACAAATTCACATCTTCAAAGCGAGTTGTAGGGAGGAGCGTGTTTGCAAACAACTGTCCAAAGGTGATGGAGAAGAATGAGTGGGCGGATGCTGTATGTTCGGTTTGCATGGAGTGTCCACACAATGCTGTTCTTCTCCTCTGTTCATCTCATGACAAAGGTTGCCGTCCATATATGTGTGGAACTAGCTTCCGTTATTCCAATTGCTTAGATCAATACAAGAAGGCGTCGGCTAAACTAATGCCATCACATCAGCAGCCGATCAATAGTAAGTCTGAGCTTGCCAATCTAAAATGCCCACTTTGTAGGGGGCAGGTCAAAGGCTGGACAATTGTGAAGCCTGCAAGAGACGATCTGAATCTAAAGAAGAGGAGCTGTATGCAGGAGAATTGCTCTTTTGCTGGAACCTTTAAGGAGCTGAGGAACCACATGAAAATGGACCACCCTTGTGCTCAGCCGCGTGAAGTGGATCCTGATGTGGAGCAGAAATGGAGAAGTTTCGAGACTGAGCAGGACCGAAACGATGTGATCAGTACAATCAGATCGACAATGCCTGGTGCAACGGTTTTTGGGGATTACGTGATAGAGAGAGGTGCATACGGTTCAGATTCAGATTCAGATACGGATGATGATGATGATCATGATGATAATGATGTGCAGAGGGAGGAAGAAGGCAGGATCGGTGCTGGGATAGGTAGGAACCTAGTGAACGTTTTCCTTCTGTTGCAGGCATTTGGTGCATCAGGAAACAACAACAATTCCACTGCTCTTGGATCTGACACATCCCATGATCTAGCATCGGATGCAAATGACTTAGTGATCAACCAGAGCGATGTGGAATCCTCTGGACAGGAGGAGGCTGGGGCTATGTCATCGGCGAACCGGATCAGGAGCCAAAGAAGGGTTGTCATGGGAAGAGCAGTTAGTAGGAGACGTAGAGATAGAGAAGCTAACCAGAACTCAGACCATCCTAGATGATACAATATTCTAAAGGAAAATCTCTATTGGGTTGTGTAGAAGGTACAAAATTTAGTTTCCAGAAGTTGAAAAACAAAAAACGTATGTGACCTGTGAAACCCTTTCTATGTTTAACATTTTTGGGATTTTTACTCAAATATGTTTGCAAGTGCATCAAGGTTGGAGAAGGAGGTTTGGGTTACACTCTTCATTCTGTTCTTTTTTTTTTCTTAATAAAGAATGTATTCTCATGTAATATTCTGATTTGCAAATTATGTTGTTTATATTCACTTATGTATCCTTCTGAATTAGGAAGGCCTAAAAGACCAATCTCTGTCTTCATGGATGTTACTACTTACGTTTTTTACTGTTTGTTCTGTAAATTTGATGTTTGAGCTTGGCTTTGTCCTTGCTCAATTAAAGTATCTTCTTTCACTAATAGCGTTTTTGGTTTCGTAGCAACTAGCAACAAGATTGTATGATTTTGTCTATTTTGGAGTAAAGATTACAGTATTTCAAAGATAGTATTTACTTGTAAGCCTTTTCTTTTAAAAAAAAAACGATTAAATCTTCCAGTTGCAGACTTCCATTATACGGTGACATTTAAAACTTAAAAGTGTTTTCGCTAACAGACTAAACTAACTTGGTAGTTATAGGCAAACCAAATTTATCTTATCATATTCATATCAAAAGTCCAAAAGCCTATGTCCACCACTATAACAACAACAAAATTCGGCCCAGAATTCTGAAACGGGCCGGATCTGGTCGACCTTGGCCAAATCCGGGTCGGGTTAAGTTAGGGATCCGAATTATAAAAAAGACGAATTGAAGCAGAGAAGGGAACGAGGGTTTCAGTTTTGCGAAGAAAAGTGAAAGGAGCTTGAAGGAGCAAAGCCGTTAACTTTGGTTTCTCTCACTTACAACTTCGTACATCTGAAACCCTAGATATGCCTAAATCAAAGCGAGACAGACCAGGTCAGAACTCTTCTTCCTTCACTATTTCATGGTTCTATTGTCTGAAACTTTTTGCATCTTCTTTACTGAGCTAGGAAGCTCTGAGTTTTGTAGCCGCCGCGTTTCTAAGATTTTTAGAGAAACCCTTTTGAAGAAAACCCAAATCCTTGCTTAGGCTATTTTTGTTGTTGCTGTTGTTGCTGCAGTTACTTTGTCGAAAACGAAGAAGAAAGGAAGAGAGCACAAAGAGTGTATTGTAAATGGAATCAGAGAGGCTGTCGAGAAGTATACTTCTGTCTATGTGTTCTCTTTCGAAAACATGAGAAATATCAAATTCAAAGAGTTTAGACAGCAGTTTAGGCACAATGGAAGGTCAGTTTCTCTGTTTTTGTAATCGTTAATAGATTGGTGTTACCTGAATGTAATTGATAGAGACACAGTTATCGAGACATAGGTATTTCAATTTGGTAATTATCATTTGATTTTTATTCGAGTAGGTTCTTCCTCGGTTCGAACAAAGTGATGCAGGTTGCTCTCGGTCGCACGGCTTCTGATGAAATCCGTCCTGGTATCTTCAAAGTATCCAAGGTTGTGTACTCTGCTGCTTTTTACGATGGTTGCTTTCGCGCACTTTCTTTTGTCAGTGACATTAACACATGTTGTGGGATTGTTGTTTCAGCTGCTTCGTGGTGATGCTGGACTTCTTGTTACTGATATGGCAAAGGAAGAGGTTGAAAGGTAAGCCATTTTTTTTCTCTGTTTTGCTTTGGTGAAAGTAATAGTGAGGGGCTTTGAATTGTATCCATTTCTCTTTGTTATAACTGTTCACAAAACCTTCTTCTGGTTCATTGCAGCTTATTTAACGCTTATGAGGATTCTGACTTTTCAAGGACCGGAAGCACTGCAATAGAAACGGTATGTGAGACAAAAATAATACCATCTCTATATATCGATGTTTCGCGATAAGAAAACAAACTTGACTGTGATCAGGCTCTGTGTCTTTTTCGAAATTTCGAGCTGTCTTTCACTTTGTCTTAATTGCTGAACAATTCTGTTTCGATACAACTGAATTGATCAGGTTGAACTTAAGGAAGGTCCTCTAGAACAGTTCACACATGAGATGGAGCCGTTTCTTAGGAAGCAGGGTATGCCTGTTAGACTAAACAAAGGTTTGTTGTCTCACCATTTTAGTTTCCATCTCTCTCTCTTTTACACAAGTTTGAAAGAAATCTTGATCCAAAAAGTTGCTTCTTTTGCTGAGTTATTATGTAGGTACCGTAGAGTTACTCGCCGACTTTGTAGTTTGCGAAGAAGGAAAACCTCTTTCGCCAGAATCTTCTCGCATTTTGGTAATAAGACTCTTGTATCCGAAAACCCTTCCATTTTTGTTTGTTATATGAGTATTAGGAGATTTGCTTATACTTGAATATATATTATAATTGCAGCGTCTGTTGGGAATCAAGTTGGCTACTTTCAAACTGAACTTAGTCTGCAGATGGAGCCCTAATGACTTTGAGCTTTACCGAGAAGGTTTGGATCTCTCAGACGTCGAAACCTCTTAAAAGACCAAGATTTTTGACGACTCTTTTCAGTTTCTGAATGTCCCATTATTCACCTGGATTATGCTGGCTCTGTGGTTTGCGCTTACATGTTTTATGTCAAAGTTTTGTTGCTTCACATGTTTGTAGAATATCAAACTATCTTCTCGAGTCCTATTCTAGGATCCTCGATTGAAGCACACATATCTATCTTAATATTTTAGCTTTTCTTTTCCTGTGATTCCAGTCACAGTATCCAATTTTTTGAGAAAGTTGCAAACTTTACATAAAGTTTCGATCTCTAGAACATAAAGTTTCAAACTTTCACTAATTTAAGTTACTTGCAATGCGTTATATCATACCAAGACTTCTTCGTTCTTCCTTAAATCTTAATTTAAGATGACCATCCCACGAAATCCTAGCTCTACAACAATGGCAATATCTCATCTACTCCTTGTTCATGACTTTATTCTTTAGTGGATTGCTGCCAGTGTCTACCTTCAGGATACTCTCATCACCATCGGCAACAACAAATTCATTTCATCTTTCTCATAACGATTTTCTCTCCTTTTTCTTGAAAAGAAACATCAAATTGGATATGTTCGAAGACCAATATGGAAAGATTCGAATTTTGTATGCTATAGGCGATGCAGGATATCCAAAAGATTTTGAGACACCATTGCCTCAAAGTAATTTGGGAGGTGGATGCTGTTGAGCAGACTGGATTCCAACCGAAGATGTTGGTAAAAAGATGAACGGAAGAGAGACGATATCTCTGACGTAACAAATAAACAAATTGGGTTAGCATAAATTAAACAAAAATGATAAATACATAAAAATACGTTTTTTACTCCTTTCAACTTTTTTTTAGCGTAACGAACCAAAAAACATTGATAAATCATCATAAACAAACGTTTCAAAATAAAAACATTTGAGTGGTAAATCAGGTCGATAGTGGAATAGCAGAAAAACTTGAACTATACTACTTTTCAAAACTTGAAAACGTAAAAATTTAATGAATTCTGAAGGGTATTAAAGAGTAAAATCACGTATTCAAGTGGTATACATCACTTGTTTTTTTATCGGCGAATAGCACATGATAATTTTTTGGTACAATATGTACGTCTTTGGGTCATGTATTTGGTTTACGGACTTACCTGTCCAATACAAATGTCTACAAGTTGGATTTTAAAAACAAGTTCCACATATCTCTTCTTTAGAGTTTGCATCTTTTTATATACAACGATGAACAAACATTCTCCCTAAAAAAAAAAAACAAGGAACAAACATAAAAGATGGTAAAAATTGTGGAGATGACGAAGTGACATGAGATGAGAATGTGTGGGGCTTAAAAGGAGAAAGTATTTAAAGTGAAAAAGAGAGAGAGGAAGGAAATCATGGAAGTGAGGGGAGAGTCAGGTGAGAGAGACTGAAGCCTGACTACTAACCACCATTTCAATCTTTTGGCACTGAAATTCATGTAGTTTCTTTTCTTCTAAAGGAAACGACAACCACTTCTGCTCTGAAACACAGCATTTACTCCTCCTCTCTCTACCTGTGTGTTTACATCATTGCATATCTTTCTTTCTCTCTCCCTTTGAAACTGATTTTGGCTTTTTCATGATGGGTGGGCATCTTTGAATTTGTTCCTCCCATTATATAGCACATGGTTCCTCATATTATAATTTTACCAAGAATACATATTTGTGTTAGTCCAATTTTACCAAGAAATAAAACTCAAAAAATATGAATAAAACTCAAGTTAAAGGAGCTGTTCGTAACAATACCTTTTTTTAAATCATATAAATTCAATTTTTACGGAAGTAATCAATTTTCTTTTCACATCATGGTCAATTGACGTAAGACCTAATCTTTTTTTCCGCAATAAGTTTATGAAACTTTAATTTCCAAAATATCTATCTCCAGAGGGAGCTAAGTTTTTGTCCTTTTTATTAAACTCTAAAAGTAGCTAAATATCGTGGCAAATAAGTATTGTATCTTGTATCAATAATGAATTTTTTTGTGTGTGTGAAAGTATCAATAAAATTCATGCAAAAATTCATCTCAATTACGTTATTTTATCACAATGCGTTATGTATATCGCTTTTCATTTTCTTGTCATTTTGACTTCTATGTATACTGTATCACGATATAAGAAATTAAATATCTTATTTTACATAAAGAAAATTGTCTTTTTGTTGTTAAAAAATTTAAACTAATATTTGTTCAAATGGCATCTAATAAGAATCCGTCTTTATGTGAGAGAGATGATTTCTTGTTTGGTCGGATTGAGACTAAGCTACAACTACGAGAATGTAACGATGGGAAAGAGAAAGAGGCGACTCGTGATCATATTTTTATTCGGTGGACATCAATCATTTCTACCTGAGAATCTATGAACAAAATTTGACGTCTATCAATTATTTCTTTCGAATTTAATGCAAACTACTACTGCTTCCCCTCCTCAATCAATGCTCCCATTCATTATTTTTTGTTTTCTTCTAGAATGCTCCACTAGTTTAAAGAGAACAAATCATCTTTAAAATATTGTCATTATTACGCTAATTCCATAAAAAGTTACAAATTACACCAAGTCACCAACCAATCAACAAACCTACATCATTAACCACCATATATAGTCTGTCTCCTTTCTTTTGTTCTTTTTGGAAACAAAATCATAAGTAATAGTATCAAGTTACCCAAAAGGCCAAAACCAAATGAAATATAATTCCAAGAAACAAAAAATTATAAATTTTACTCTTTTTTAAATAAGGAGAAAATCTTAAACCGAAATTAAAAATGATTCTTGAAATTTACACTGTTACAGGAATTCTGAAGAGACAAAGTAAACGATGCATATAGTAAAAAATTGAACACATAATGGTAACCACTAAAATACATTCATTTCATTTAAAAGTCATTATTGTTTTCTTTTGCCCTTGTGTGGATTTGTGAAGAAGTATTGGATTACTCGCATTCCCCTTCCGTTGTCGCCGAGGAAACATAACTCATAACAAGAGACGACGTAATCTCATCAGCCATAACAGGGATCTGAAACAGTTGCCTGCAAGAATGGCAAGTGATCTCCAACATTGTCGCATTAATCCTCTTGATTGCTTCTTCTCTAACAACATGAGCCTTCTCCATCTCGGCTTTCGCTTCTTTCCTTATTCTCTTAGCCTTCTCAAAATCAGCTTCCGCCATCTCTATCTGCCTCTTCGCTTCTTGTCTCATTTGATCTGCCTTCCTCGCTTCCTCATTAGATCCCTCCTTTGTTAAACTCGTCTCTCCCTTTTCGTTGATGTTCACTTGTGCTGATGTTCTCATCATTCCCATTGATAGTTGAAGCTCGAGGCTTTCGAAAGGAGTTGATGAAGCATTGAAAGGGTAAGCATAGGTTAGTGAATGTTGATCGGGCAGTGGTGGCCTTAACAAAGGAAGTCCATGCAATAAAGGTCCAATGCTTGAGGTCAAAAATGTTCTTGATGGAGCGGCAGGGCTTGCCGTTTGCTGCTGAGGACGGTAGTTGGTGGGTGGAGGTTGCCGGAAAGTGCAAGTATCTTGGTGCTCTATGAAACTCTCAACCCTGAAAAAAAGAGAAGAATCAACAATGAGGTACTTTAGTATTTTTTTAATAACTAAAAGAATTGAAAATTAATGTAAATGGCCTACACTAAATGATGAAAATATAGAGTTTAACACACTAGGAATGAATCATGGATGTGTTTGGAGTACGTAAGTTATCAAAAGAAGAAGGCAATAATATAAAATTGAGTTATGGATTTAGGTATCTTTGGAAAGGGGTGATGTGATTATAAGGACTTTTTAGTTTGTGTATTAAACAAATGCAACAAAGTGTGGGTAATGGGAAAATCCTTAATGGGGTCAATGTGAGATCACATACAAAAACATACATATGATTATATTAATTGTTTAAAGTAAACTTATCTGGCAACAGTCAAGCACTGAGCTTCTATTGTCAAAACTCAAAATCTATATGCACATTAAAAAAAAAAAAATCTATGTCTGTGTGCAATATAGATAATTAATAACCGGTAATAATGTAACAACATTACACATGCATCCTATAAAACATTCTTTGGCTTAGTTTAAGGATTTCATAGTTCCAATGATAATCTTTCCCAAACAGTTAAATTGTATAAATAAGATCTCAAGAAAACAAAATATCAAACTTTGGATATACCAAAAAACACTAATTAGGGTTTTCCACAGAAGTAAATTAACAAAAAAAAAAAACAATGAGATGATGATGATAATGAAGAACCTGGAGAAAACGCGACCGCAGTCGCAAGAATGGCCGCGTGAGCCGCATGTCTTGAGATGGGCTTTGTAGTCAGACTGTACAGCGTAGCCTTTGGAGCATCTCTCGCAAACCCATTGCTTGAAGACACTGTGTTTACGACGGAAATGCTTTTTGATTCCGACCAGATCTCCGAGGGCGTGGCACGGGTCGTGGTGGAGACACGTCGGCTCAGGACACACGTAGACTCTCTTCCTCACTTTCTCATCCTTCTTCTCTCTCTTGAGAAGCTTCCATGGCACTTTATGCCTTCTTCTATGCATCTGGAGATTCTGATCCCTCTGAAACCCTTGGTTGCAGATCTCACACACGTACCGATCTGACTCTAGCAATGTTCTTGGTGATAAAGACACGACCTCTGCATCTGGATCTGTTAGCACCGATACACATGATTAAAAAAGTGATTAAAATGGATCGATAATCCATTTTGTTTGCTGGAAAATAAACCTATTTGAGAATTTCATCGAAAAACACAAATCTCAATAATCAAATCTTTAGCTGAATTATTGCAAACCCAATAGACAAAAAAATCATATTTTTAGGTGAGTTATCAAAAAACACAATCCCCAAAAAAAATTCTATCGTCTGGAATATCAACAACAGTTTTTTTGGAAGTTATGGCAAACCCAATCCCAAAAATCAAATCTTTAGCTGAATTATTGAAAACCTAATAGTAGACCAAAAAATAAAATTCAAATCTTGAGCTGAATTATAGAAAAAAACCTGGTGTCCCTGCGGGTCTACGTTTTCTCTTATTGGTCGTGGAGGCTCCATTGATGGTAAGAATAAGATCAGAGGAAGATGAAGAGGGAAAGTTTCCATGGTTGTTGTTCTTCTCGTAATCTATCATCTTATAATAAACTCTCTTTTTATTATGTTTTCTTCACGATGGTGGTATTGGAAGAAGTGTACCAATTACTGCGTGTCTACTGAAAAAGAAAAACAAAATCGAAGAATCTTTTGTTTTTTCACGAGGAGAGATTAGAGAGTTTTCTCTTTTTTTTTCTTCTTTTATTTGGTGGATATATAGTGCTGTCTCAGCTTTACTAATAGAGGAAGAAAGGGAGATGAGTTAAGAGGGAGAAACAAAGGTTTTTGCTTTCTGAAATCAACTTTTGTTTCAGCTCTCTTTTCCGAGGCCTAAAAGTTTTCTTTTTATTTTCCTTTACTCTCTCTTCTCTTTTTCTTATTTTCCTGGAAAAAAAGATTCTTCTTTTTGTTAAGTGTTTCATTGACCTTACACCTTACCTGGAGAAGGCATTGTATGGTCTTTGATTGTTTAATCTTCTTCTTTACATACATTCATCATCTTCTCTCTCTCTCTCTCTCTCTCTCTCTCTCTCTCTCTCTCTCTCTCTCTCTCTCTCTCTCTCTCTCTCTCTCTCTCTCTATGTCTATGTATATGCATAATGCATACATACATATGATACATAATACATGTGACCTAAAGAAACGGGGTTGAAACTTAGAGCCCACATAGATATTTGGAGGGAAAAAAAACAAAAGAACATCCCCTTCCACAACAAAACAAATCGAAGTCATTATTATATCATAGCACAGAATCTTCTTCTCCACAAATTTTTATCGGAAAAGACGAATTATTTAAGGACTCTTGAAAAATTTTTATATAGATATGCAGAATACGCCACGGTGGCAGCACTTATACAGACTATTAAACTATACTAGCTCGTCCAATTAAAATTGGATATTATAAATTGAAATAAATAAACATGAGGAGACCAAGACTAATATTTAAAGGCGATGTGTTAATCTACACATTGTCAATTATTTTCAGTTGAATAGTTATGATTCTTCATGGTATAAGATTTCACTTAGTTCAAATGGGTATAAATCAATCATTCATAGAAAAAAAAAAAATTGAGCAGAGAAATAACATCTTAAAAAGAGCGTGTCTACATTAGAAGTGAGAAGAAAACGACACCAATATACAAATAATATATATCAGCCACTCCTTATCAACTAATTTTGGAATTTAAAACCTATGCTCCCTCACCAGTACTAATGATGTTCAATAAAACTATTAAAATGGTACGGCTAGCAATATATATATATATATAGTAAGAGGACTTAAGATTTTTTGTTTTTGGAAGGTGGACAAATCATTACTTATTATTACGTGTGTCGTCTGCACATAATCAACTCACGTCTGCGTGGGTGAGGAACGTAAATTGGAATCCATACAATGTGGTGCCATCATATCATATTTGTATAGTAGAGGGAGTGAAGACCCTTGGACTGATTTTTTAAGTGTCACGAAAGAGCCAATCTTGTAAAAAAAGTGTAGAAAGACCGGGTCCATATGAAACACGGGCCTAACTAAGGTGGTGGAACACGGATCCGTGTTGAAAAATATGCCTCTTCCTCTTCACTTTCTTTTTATCTGTTGACGTTATGTATTGAAACGAGATTATCGTTAATTACAGTAATACTTTATATAATTTTTTTACAACCTCGACGATATCATATTTCATTTTTTTTTTATTGAATTTTTCTTTTTGATGAGATGATGTTTCTTCAATCTGTCTCTTACTCTCTTGTATACTCGTTGTTCATACCTGATAAGCATGGAAACGGTCCTTTCTCGCCATTTTCCAAATGCATGCACGGAAACGGTTTTTTTCCCGCTGTTTCTCACTGATATTACTGTGAAAATCGGACGTCTTTTTGCAGTGGATGTGAATGTAAATTGTTTTCAAATCAAGGGTTTTGGTTAAAAAGCTATGCTAGCTCCCATGATAAAAGAAATAGAAAGAAATATCATTAACTAACTACCATAGTAATTTAATTCTTTTGAGATACAAACTAGTTTTGTTTTTCATAAATTGTATTCATACATTAGCAAAGTTTGTAAGTGAATTTTTAACCCAAAAAAAAAGTTTGTAAGTGAATTTTGAATTTCTGAATGATTTTTTCTGTTGCACGACCTAATTTATATCTATCTCTTTTACATGATCTCTCATTTATAGATAAGCTTCGTGCTTACTAATGGGTGGCTGCAGTTTCGGTGATGCATCTTCTTAAGGGACTGAAAACTCCGAACTTAGAAATTTTTTTAACGTAAATTCTGATTGGATTGGAAAAACGGAAAATAACAATGGATCGCAAAAATAAAATTACATTTGTGATATGTTCTAATTAAATGAGAGGTAAAAATGGTGTCGTCGCTAAAACGGAGAGAAGTACACAAAAACAAGTATCATTGTTACCTGATTTAGTTAGTTAATACTTAGAGCATCTCCAAGAGACACTGTATTTTTAAGGTGTGAAAAATCTTATATTTGAGGTTTGAAGATGATGCTCTCCAATGATAAACCTTAAAATAATACTTTACAAATATTATACTTTACACTTTAATCTTTACTTTTAATAATAATTAACTAAGATCATAAAACTTTGATAAATAACTATAAAAACACATATTAAAATATTATAGGCAATATTAATTAAAAAGGAGGTTCAGAATCTAATTTATCTGAGTATTAGTTTTGTTGTAGTACTTTTAATTGTGTAATATTTATATGTTTGTATAAAATTTGCTTTATGTTATATTGTTGTTATGTATTTTTTCTAATGTTCTATATATTTTTCATTATTAATTTTATTTAAAATTCTTTTTTTTTAAACTTTTATATGTATATATAATTTATTTAAAAAGATATATGTGAAATATTTATAATATTAAATTAGGAGAGTTGAAATGATAAACACAAAAGTTATTATCATTAATCTTAAAATACATAACTGAAAGGATTGAAATGCAAATAAAAAAGATGATACCTCAAATTTGAGGTGTTGAATTGTGAAACCTCAAATATAAAGTGTCACTGTTCAACACCTCAAAATTTGAGGTTTTAAAGTGTTTTTAGAGTACATAAAATCTTATATTTGAAGTTATAAGGTGTCTCTTAGAAATGTTTTTAGCGAAAAAGAGTCATGATAACATGGGAATTGTTCTAATAGGCTTTTTGCTTTTCAAAGACTAACAATGGAGGAGGAGAAATGTTTAATTGACAACCCATAAATTAGTAACTAGTGACAAAAAAAATAAAAGTGTAGAACATTTTAGATATAAAAAAACTGACATTGTCTCTACGTCGTAATCTTCACAAAAATCATTACATATCTCATGCACACATGGCCAGGCAAGCCTTTAATAACCTACTTGGCGCTTGAATCCTCAAATCCAAATCCATGCCATGACTCCATCACCATGATTAAGCCCTCCGTTTTTTTCTCCATATATTTATTACATGTATAGAAAAATTAAAAAAGTCCTCCGAACGTAAATAATATAGGAAAAGAAAAGGATACAAAAAGAAAATACATTGCCACCCAGAGTTTTATGTCGGCCTTTTGGAAAAGTTGTCCATATATGTAACCCAAAAATTACATAAATTTGTTAAAATAACTTTAATTTTCACTTTAACTTTTCTTTTGTCTTTTGTCAAAGATTTCAGTTTTTACTCCGTATCCTTGTTACGTATAACAACTTCGCCACAAATATTTGATTGTATTGGTAATATTATAGCTTCTTATGATCAAAAACCAGATTATCATCTGTATGGCTGGAAATTGGCGGAAAGCTCCTTCCATCCCGTATTACTTCTATCATATTTTGAGGAATGGAATATATGATAGAAGTATAACAAAGCATAATGTTTTAATCGAACTTTAACAAAACAAAAACAAAAATTTACAATCTAAAATATTCATCACTCAAACCAAACCATAACAATTAGATTTTTTTTAACTATAAATATAATATTAGATGTCACATTCTTATTTAACATAGATGAATAAAATAATTCCTCTAAATAATTCACCGAATAATTTTTTCGATAATTATAAGTAAAACAGTACTATTTCCAAAATATATGATCCATTCTTAAAGTCTTTAATTTGGCCATACCATTTCTTATGATCGATAGCGATTTGTCATCTACGGCTATTGCTTTCATTACAAATTTACAAACATTTCATATCAAAGAAGTCAAATCAAAATGATTACCTTTCTATAACCACATAAAATACAACAAAATATTCACCATGCAATTTGGTGAAGAGGCAAAAATTTAAATAACCTGACAAGCAAAAGTTTAATAAGTTACACAAATACGAAAATGAGAATTAGAATATCATCTGAGAACGTCCCAAAAAAACTGGTATCATATTTAGTTTTCTGAGACAAATAGTAGAAATTTTGACAATCAAATTAAAGGTTAATTAGATTCAAAAAAAAAAATTAAAGGTTAATTATTGTAGCAAAAATAAGATACCAAATCAAGGTCACGTAAGCCGCGATATTCAAACTATTCACTAATCTAACAAAAAGAATGTGAGGACCTAAATAATCTACGCGGCATATGTTAACATACCTAAGACATAGAATCAACTAGCTAGGCAAATATATCAGATTCTGAAAGGGCCTAAATGGATGTAAAAAATTATGTGTACTAAAAAATCATGGAAAATTTGAGATACATCTAACGTTTATTATCATCCACATATTCAACAAAATAGAAGGAAAAAATAACAGAAGAGAACCAAGGAATGAAAAAATTAATCTGATCAAGCTGCAATTAAAAGGTAATCAAATCTGGTAACGTGTGAGTGAAGTAAACTGGCTCGTCGATAACTACAAGAGGCAGCGGACTCGGATCCACGTTATACTTTCTATGTTGATCAGTTTCAATAATCTCATTACAAGTGAAACAATAGTCGTCTTCAAAAACCTCCCATTTATCGGTTATGATTGTTTGGAACTCTGGTCTCTCCACTAATATGATACCCTTCTCTTCCTCTACTTCTTTCTCCTCCTCCTTTGTCTCCTCTTTTTCTTCGACTCCACTGATGACTTTCTCGATTGCTTCAATGTCTTCTTCCGGGATTCCCACGAATTTAGGTATTTCGTGCGCGTTTGAGACCCCAAATTCTTTGCAGAACTCAAAGTAGAGGGCGAGATCTTCTCCTTGAGACGTAGCCTTCTTTACAATCTTAAGAGCCATCACAGCTTCTGCTTTTCCAGCAGCTGGATGGATCTTGATGAGAAGATTTGCGATAGCACTGCAGATTCTTCCATAAACGTCAAAGATCTCGATCACCACGCAGTCCATTGCTTCAAGGATAAGCGTCTTCTTCATGTTATCAGCCATTGGACGGATTTGGAGAAGCATATGGAGGAGAGACTGAAGCTTCTGGATCCTCTCTAGCTCTTGGTTAACCGAATCTACCTGAGGTTTTTTGTGGCGGCGACGGATTTGATCGGAGAGAAAGAAAGAGTACTGATCAAGAAACGAGAAATATGCGCGTATAAAAGCGTTGAAACCCCAAGTCTTGCTGGGACGAGAGTGACCATCGGAGAAATCAGAGAGGTCGAAAGGTAGGCGACGAATCTCTTGAAGGGACGTGACTTTGCAGCAAAGGACACCGTGGACTAGCATTAGGGCTTTCAAGGCTACGATCCAGCTTCTTGTGCGGTTAACCCTAGAGGAAAGCGCGTAAACAAGCGGCTTGAGATTGGCAGGAGAGGAACGGATCCATTTGTAGACACGATGAGCATTGTGGTAATCGACGGTTGAGTCATCGTGAGAGGTTGCGTGGATGATGGCTGAATCAAGGTCAGGGTTGCGGAAGGAGGTTTTCCGGGAGAAGCTAATGGAAAACAAGCTTTTCCGGTCTTTGAGAGCACCGGAAGCTCGTTTCCATAGCTTCATCATCAGCCTCCTCCTCCTCCTCCTTCTCTTCTTCTTCTTCTTTCTTGTCTTCTCTTTCTCTCAAACCACCAAACCTTTACCTTTTCTCTCTATTTTAAGTTTTGTTTCTTTTGCCACCTTTGCTTTTGACCGTTGTAACCGGTTTTTCGTTTATTTTTAATTAAAAACAGGTATAGAAATATAAGCTGGCACGTGTGATCCGACACACGGTTTTGTTAGTTTCTTGCACGTCGGCCTCAGGACACGGTTTTCATTACCTTATTATATTTTATCCTAATCATATATGATGATACTACAATAAAGGACGGAAGTAAGGAACATTATAGAGTACTCATCAAATCTTGGAATCTTACTGATAATATAGTAACTATTACAATAAAACTTGCCAATGTATGAGTGTTGAAGAAGAGTGGGTTTGTTAAGGTGAAGCCTAATATCACTAGATTCGGAAAACTAAAGCCATCTCGAGTTTGCATAAGTACATCAAGTCTTGGGCTTCAAATAGAGATTCAAAGAATAAGACTTGTGCACATATATAACAAACAAGAGTGACAGAATTCAAATGCTAATCCTCTCTATGGATTAAAATTTAAACAAGATTATGATAGATAACATCATAACACACATATTCATATGGTGATATTTAAATACAAGTTCTGTTTAGTCCCCTTTGCGAAAGATCCATCCAAAGAGTCGTTAGAGATATATATATTCTCATATGAATTTAGGATAAATGAACCAAAACATGAGATCTCATTATTAGCTACAAATTGAATACTTAATTACAATATTTGGTAACAGAGACAGAATCCTTGAACAGACACCACCTTATCATAAAAGAAGTGGATATGCAAATTACCAAATATTTTTCATTCAGCTAGACATAGAGCCATCAAGATTAAGCAATTACTCTTCGGACCTAATCAATCCCAGAAAATATTCACAAATTTGAAAATTCAGCGGATTAATATCAATGAATGTGTGTGCTAGAATCTAGATCATGCTAGAAAGACGATTCAATTAAGAAAAAGAAAAAAACAAAACAAAAGAAAGAATTCTTATCTAGATGAAGAGCGGCGCTTGCAAGTGGCTTCAATGGTGATAAAGCAGACGATGCAGAAGAAGAGAATGATAAGTCCGACTATGATTCCGAAAGTCACCACATCCATTTCTAACTGACTTTAACTCTCTCTCTTTTTTTTTTTGGTGCTAGAGTTCTTTTTTTAAGGCACACTAAACTAGAAAAAAAAAAAGATTATCCACCAACTACGTACTCTCCACCTCCTCGGAGAGAAGAAGCCTCTCTCTCAGTCCGTGGTAAACCAGTTGGACTATCTAGAGGGTCTCCTTCCTTGTCGTATAATATTGATTAATTCCAAATTTTCCGATACAAACGAGATGTAACTAGTAGCCCAGGTGTATTTCTATATCCTATATCCGTTTTTTCCCTCCCTATTATTTGACGTTATTGTAATTTAGAAAAAAAATAATCATGGGAAATCAGATTTAATTAAAGTTTTCAATTTTCTTTCTCACTCACTCACTCACTCACTCATTCATTACATTACTGGAAAAAAAAAAAAAACTCTCAGAAATGAAAGAAAACGCCATGACTCAATTTTTCTAATCTGGCATATACGGTTTCAAGTTTTTCTTTTTCAATGTTTTTCTTGGTTTGTCTCATTGGTGTGCATGAAAGCCTCCAGCGGACGGATCTACTCACTGGTTTTATCTACAACTATCTAATGCAAGTTGGATATTATTTTATAGGGATTTCTAGTTTATTTATCAAATATTGATGAGCTAGTTAGAGTAATTAATTAATGAGATTTTGAAAAGACTACTATGTATTTTATCTTTAAAACTGGATGTTTATTTTTTAAAAAAAAAAATTCGTGACGATACTACTTTTTGGTCATATTGATATCTTTGAAAAACGAGAAAATCAGTCGAACAAAATTAATTGATAAAACCGTTCAGGCTATAAAAATTTTATATGATATTGTGATGCAATTAATTTTGTTCTTTTGCTTTAGGTAGAAAGTTTAATTCGTGTAGACCAATATGAATAGTTGGCATTTCCGTGGAGATGTTTTGGAGACATGACAGCAAAACTTGATTACGTATGGGGAACATTTATCTTCTTCTATTTATCTTTTCTTCTATCTTTTTTTTGAACAGCAGGATAGGAAAAATATAAATAGAAGAAGATAAACTTTGCCCATACGCAATATCAAGCTAGCTTGGCAAAATGAGATATATAGAGATATATATGTCGATACATACTAACCACTCAAATATAAAACGATTTCTTTGCATTTACAAACCAATCACATGCTTCGTAATAGTTCAAAGATTTTGGTATTGTATGCTTCACGTGGTATCATACATGATACATGTGACGGTGAATGATGTGTTGAAAAAGCAAACACATGAAATATTTGTTTGGCGGTGAGTTCAAATAAAGTAACTAAATAAAGAAGATAATACATATGGCCTAATAATCAGGATTTTGGTAACAGACGCGGCAATTGAGCTGGAGTTTTGAGCTTTTGTTTGCGTGAGTGTGTGATTAAAAAAAAAACTATCAAATGTTAAATTTTCTAATCAGTGAGAGGCTGAGAGCATTAATATAATTATGTTATCGAAGGATATATATGTATATATATGGACAAAAACAGCTATATCTAGAGCTTATGATGATATGATCAATCATATAAAGGTTGTTTGGTCCACCATGTGGAAAATATTATCCAAATGTGGTTTACAAGCGAGAAACAACTAGGACTCACATGCACATTCGACTTATATATACAAAATGTTGCTTTTTTATCAGAAAAGCTTCTTTAAACAAAAGAAGAGAATGGGTTCTAAGTTTGGAATCGGCTCCTTGAGCATTGTAATGATCAGTCTGCTTCTTTCTTTGGCTCCAAAACTTGAGGCCGAGCTCACAACGGTCGAACAAGCTCCAAAATCTGATGGCTCTATCAGTTTCTTGGTGATTGGAGATTGGGGAAGACGTGGATTCTACAACCAGTCCCAAGTTGCCCTCCAGGTTTTCATTCACACACTATTTGCATATATTTATCATTTATGTGCCCATGTTTGTTAGATATTATAAGAGTGTTTTGATGGTAACATAGATGGGAAGAATCGGGGAGAAGATGGATATCAATTTTGTGGTATCGACAGGCGATAACATTTACGATAACGGGATGAAAAGCATCGACGATCCCGCCTTTCAACTCTCCTTCACCAATATATATACTTCTCCTAGCTTGCAAAAACCTTGGTACATTGGTAAAAATGTCCCCAATGCATAAATTATTATTTTTAAAAAAAATAATAAGTAACTAATGTTAAACGAGAAAGATAATAATATATATGTCACTGCTCAGTTTTGGGGAATCACGACTATAGAGGAGATGTTGAAGCACAGCTGAGTCCTTTCCTAAGATCAATGGACAGCCGTTGGATTTGCATGAGGTCCTTCATCGTAGACGCTGGTACTACATATAGTCACATTAATTAATGTTAATAAGATATATCTAGTCACATTGATATTTAATATTATAATCAGTTCTGGTCATTATATGTTACATATTCTCGTTACCTAACCATATATATATGGCTTTAAAATTCGGGCAGAGATTGCAGAGCTCTTCTTTGTCGACACAACTCCTTTTGTAGATGCTTATTTCCTCAATCCACAAGGCCAAACTTACGACTGGAGAGGCGTATCACCGCGAGAGTCTTATCTTCAGACCATCTTAACAGTAATTGAGAACACATAATATATGTAGTAATTTGTATATGGATTATATAGTCTGATGGTGTTGACAACTCACACTTACTATAATTATAATGTGTAGGACTTGGATATGGGTCTAAGAGAATCAAGAGCAAAGTGGAAAATTGTGGTGGGTCATCATGCCATCAAGAGTGCTTCCATTCATGGGAATACCAAAGAGCTTGAATCTCTCCTCTTACCCATCCTTGAGGTTTATTTTCTTATTGCTCTTATTAATTAAAGTTATGTCATTTAGCAAAAAAAAAAAGGTACGTCTCGGTTATTTCAAATGTAATTAAAAAAAAAAAAGCTAACTTATGGGTTTGCATGTGTTTATGTTTATATATGTGATTTTAAAAGAAAAAAAATATTTATATTACTAAAAGTCTAAAACTTAAACATTTTTTGTTTTCTCATAAAGCTAACTTTCTCTTTGACATTGTGCGTTTGTAACTGGCAAATAAATTTTGTAAAAAATACTAAAATTTGTAATTTCATTCGGAGGAAAATACTAGCTAGTATAACATGTAAACTTCTTTATTTTATTTTACAGGCGAATAACGTTCATCTCTATGTGAACGGTCATGATCATTGCTTGCAACAAATCAGCACATCTCAGAGGTAACAACGGTTGTTATGCAGAATCTAAAGTTCGGCTTAGATGAAACGGCTAGTAAAAAGAGAAATGGTGTGGACTATACTTCATTCTTCTTCTTTTTTGTTGCAGTCCAATTCAGTTTATAACGAGTGGTGGTGGGTCAAAGGCATGGAGAGGCTATTACAATTGGAAAACACCAGAGGATATGAAGTTTTTCTACGATGGACAAGGTTTCATGTCGGTTAAGATCACCAGAACCGAAATGGGTATCGTTTTTTATGATGTCTCCGGCAATATTCTGCACAAGTGGGACACATCAAAAATGTTGTACACGGATTTAGAATTCCCATTGTAATTCATTGTAAATCACAAGAAAAATCAACTTGAAGCAACTATCTACATAGGCCTATGATGTAACGAGTGCCTCGAAAATTAAAAAAAAAAACGAGAGAAAACTAACTTGATGTTCATCCGAAATGCTGGAAATATGCTGCGTGAGCCACTCTCCTCTTTTTAGCTATCTGAAGTGGTTACATGACTCACATGTTATGCCAAGGTAGTATGAGAGATGATGATATTCGTTAATCATCTATTTTTAACACGCAACACGTGGACTTTATCGGTGACCTCTCCCTTGTAGCACGAGGCGGAAAAATATTTAAAGATTAAATTAAGATAGTTGAAAACAATGTTAATAGTTATAAAAATTAAAGAGTTGCACAAAAAAAAGTTATAAAAATCAAAGAAAGTGTGATTTTTTCAGTTATGATGAAAGGTTTTTGTAGTTTTGGTCTTTGGAGGCAATACTTTTTTTTTTCTTTCAAGTTATACTTTATTTCCTTTTTGCCACTTCGAATGAGTCATCATTTTGAGTTACAATAAAAGCTCAGAAATGAGCAAAAGAGAATGGGAAATTGGGAATAACACACTATTACCCGATATTACATACTCGATGTGAGAGAGAGGATAGCCAAAACATAAAGAGTACAACTGACTTTGGAGGCAATAATACTTACCGCCTATAGGTTGTTTGATTCGTTTTAAATGAATAAACATCCTAATTTTGTTCGTGTACTCGATTCTATACCAATATGTTTTGCAATATTTAGATAAATTAACAAAACACAAAAAATATTAATATTTAGCTAAATTTAATCCATGTGAGTACGTGACAATATACGTATTACCCTGCGAATCGACTGATTCTAAATTTGTAAACGCCATTTTAGATAAATTTGGTTAGACTCTGACTAAAATAGATACTAATCAAATGACTCACCTACTGATTAAACACGTGGTCCATGTTTCCATAAACGCATCGTTTTACCTGTCAATTCCCAATTCTCTCTCTCAGACCTTTATAAACCTCCTCCTCTCCCTCTCTTTCTCTATTGTAGAATCAGAGAAGGATCTTTGCTTTTCCGACAATGGCGGCTACTACATTGTACAAGTCTTGTCTTCTTCAACCCAAGTCCGGCTCCACCACTCGCCTAAACCATTCTCTCGTTAAGCCCCTTTCGAATCCGACCAGTAAGTCTCGGTTTCACGATAAGAGGCGTGATTCGAATCAAGGGTTTCGAGTATTGATCTCTTCTATTTTTATTCGATGTCATAGGAGTTTCGGCTTTGGGGAAGACTCGTAGAGATGTCGTTGCGAGAGCTTCGATTGAAATGGCGGAATCGAACTCGACACCTTCCGCTGTTGTGAATTCCTCTAAGCAGAATGGTCCCATCATCGTGATTGATAATTACGACAGCTTCACCTACAATCTCTGCCAGGTTTGATTTCGAAACAGATTTTGATTTGAATCTATTTGGGGGAAAATCAACTGAAATGATGATTCATTGGAGAATTTTAAAAAGCTTTGGTTTTGCTCAACCAAGTCTCATTAGTTTAGGGTCCTGTTTAATTGCAAGTCCTTGATTTTATAGGAATGTGTTCAAGTATGCATTGTAGTGAATTGTTGGAATTACATTATTTCACAATCCAATCTTCGTTCGACATGCTAATAGACATAACTAGGAAATGTAGATGGATACTTTCTTAATATGTAATTAGAGTCGTTATCTCGGTGCTGAATCTTGTTATCGAAAGCCTCCTCTTTTCTGGAGAATATTGTTTTTCTTTCTTCTATATGTAGAAAGCTCATGTTTGTAGTTGTAAAGAGTAGTTCTTGATTGTAATAATTCGCTGTCTCTTGAAATTTTGACTGCTCTGGATATCTCACATAACTCATAGATCCCTAAGATACAATTTGATCATGTCTTGCTTCTAGCTCCGTATTTAATTTGTCTTATCATTTTTATGTTTTATTATAAACAGCATTTTTTTTTATACCCATCTTTTTCCATAGTATATGGGAGAGCTAGGATGCCATTTTGAAGTTTACCGCAATGATGAACTTACAGTAGAGGAGCTGAAAAGGTGAGAAGAAACCATATGCTTTCTCTTTAAAACGTAATCTGGTTATGCAAAGGGTGTTGATTCCTTTATTATGCTTTCCTTTTTGCAGTAAAAATCCAAGAGGGGTGCTGATTTCTCCTGGGCCTGGTAAATATTTTAGCCTCTCCGACTGTATGTTGTATCTTTTAAGGTTCTTGTAGCGAAGGAAAAGGTGATAACAACTTCCTTAAAATTGATAGGTACTCCTCAAGACTCTGGGATATCCTTGCAAACTGTTTTGGAACTCGGACCACGTGTTCCTTTATTTGGAGTATGTATGGGTTTGCAGTGTATAGGAGAAGCATTTGGAGGTTAGTTGCATAACTATAAAATGACATCTAATTTGTCCGTATTATTGTTTTAGCATGGTTAAATACTTTATGTAATGGATCCTCAACTCTCAAGCACTTTTGTGTGAACTTTGGTTGTAGGAAAGATTGTGCGATCACCATTTGGTGTTATGCATGGGAAAAGCTCAATGGTTTACTATGATGAGAAAGGAGAAGAAGGTTTATTCTCTGGATTATCTAAGTATGTATCAGGTTTTCTCAATGAGTTCTATTGTGTTTCTGCGAAAACCATAATCATAAGTTCGTAAATTCATATTCTTGTTGGTCTTTCAGCCCGTTCCTTGTAGGTAGATATCACAGCCTCGTGATAGAAAAAGATACATTTCCAAGTGATGAACTCGAGGTTACTGCGTGGACAGAGGATGGTTTGGTTATGGCGGCCAGACACAGGAAGCACAAGCATATACAGGTAAAAAACCCCACTCAAGTGTTTCATGTTTCTTCTTGCTGCGCCTCCATAAAAAAAAAAACAGAACTCTAAAAGTCTTGTAAAAATGGTTTACAGGGAGTTCAATTTCATCCGGAGAGTATTATAACAACTGAAGGCAAGACAATTGTCCGCAATTTCATCAAACTTGTAGAGAAAAAGGAGGCTGAGAACTTGAGATAGGCGCTTGTCTCAATGAGAAAATCAGCTATGTACGATTAGTGCCTTTCTGTAATAAAGTTTGCCAATGCAAAATGCTCCTTGTCATCATCCTCCCATTTTTTCTATCGTAAAATTTCGATTTAGTCCTCTATTTTTTTTAGTTTGTCAAATTTGGAAAACAGAGAACTATGTGATTGACGCATGTCCAACGAAAAAATATGACAGTAAACATTTCAATTCGTTTTTTAGTTTAGTTTGGTTGATTTTGATTGAATAACAAAATTCAATAGAACAATTGAGATCACTGATGCAAAGCAATGTTCATCAGACGATGGGTTGAGTCCTCAAGAGGTTTGAGGATTACATCGGTTCCTAATTTTATTGTTACGGACTGTTGTCCTCTACTTCTTTTTCGCCCTTTAATCAATCGGCTTCTTTGCCTCTATTGCTATCTTGTGTACTCGTAATCTTCCGCACGAACTAGTATTCCAGCTCAATTTGTATGGATACAGTTTTGCTACAGTTGAATGTACCAAACTAAAGCAAAACAGAAAACCGGTACGGGTCGGTGTTTCTGGGAGCGTTTATATATTCGGAAGATAGCTTCATTTGGACGTAATGTCTACGATGACGATAGAGTGATGATAAAATTGTTTTATATCTTGTTACACATTCTGCAGCAATGAGTGATGATGTCATAGGTGTGATGGGATTATAATTATATAGTTACTATGATTACAGAAGCAATAACAGTAAATGGACCAGAACAATTGTGAAATATTCAAAGTTCTTAAAAGGGCCAGCTATATCAGAATAATTATTCATTTATCTGCAACATGATTAGAAGCATGTGTTTGGAACGGTTATGATTAAGGTGGCGGAATTATATTAAGGTTTAGAATGGTGAACAGATATGAAATAATGCAGATTATACAGATCATGCAGATAAAGTAGAATTAATGCAAATCAAGCAGAGAAGCAGATCAATAATAACATAAATAAAAATTAATAAAATAATTTGAAAATATAAAAGAAATGCAGAACTGGGTGAACATGTCCAAAAATGATGCAGTCCATTTTTTATTCACTATGAAGAATAATATAGATCTGCATGCAGATAATCATTTTTTTATTCTAATTTTGATTTGTGTTTTTTAAGACATGAATGGTAAATAAAATGCAGATGATCCTTACATGCAGTTACTCTGTGTTTTTGCTGCATCCCATTCAAAAGCCTAAGTGTAACAGGGAAAAAAGAAGTTTGTTGTGTGGAACCTAATGAAAAGATATCTTCAAACGCATCATATAATTAGTTTGTTATGTAAACGCAGCAATTTGACTTTTATATTTTATTATGTTGATCTGTTTGTTGTGTTGACTCGTGAGTAAAAAAAAATCAAATTAGAAAAACTAATGTTATATTTTATTATTTGTTATACATGCGTCAATCACATAGTGTTTTCAATTCTCTCTTTTATTTTCTTTTTTGTGCAATTTTCTTTTAACAACAAAAGTAATTAATTAGGTATTCATTCCCAATACATACTGTTTTACAAACGGATGACAGAACATTAAATTACTTCTCACCAAAATGACAAATCATTAAAACAATAGAAAAAAAAAAACATAATGAAAACTCAAAATTCTGTACAAAATTTGTGGAAAAATATCACATAGATTGATATTAAAGACTCATTGAGATTCTTGAACATTGATCTAATCTTTTTGTGATAAGATTAATTATCTCCTCCTTGTTGTTGTTGTCAAATGACATATCCTCGTTAAAGAAATTATTCGAAGAAATCATTCTCTGTTGACGGAACTGGATACATGTGTTGATCTAAGATGTAGGTATAGCTGTCTTTGTCTTGGCCATGTTTATTGAAATAGTTGTCCAGGAATGGAATGTCTATGGAAATGCAGTCAGTTTTTCCAACTTTTTATTTTTCAAATTTTGTAACTGAAAAAAATGTATGAAATAAATCAAAACTATATGATAGGAACAATAAAGAAGTTCACCATGGATATTCTGCAGTTGGTCAACTTGACAACTTGTTTGATATGAGGACTCGGATATCATAGGGATACAATGAAATATGAACGTTCATACAAATACGTATTTCATGTATAATGAATACTTTTGACCATCACTGCATGACATAATAACATTTATATTGGAATTAAAATTCATTCGATAAGAAAAAAAAACATACATTCATAAATCAGAATTGAGAATAGTATAAAATGCTCATTTAATTAAGCATATAATACACATGAAAATGAAGTTCTGATATGCTTAATTTAGAATTATCAGAAAATATGCCAAACCTCAAAAGCATCTTTCGGCCTTATTTGTTTGAAGTTCTGGACACGCCTTAGTAATTATAATCATTAGCTAATACTCTATTAGACGCCTCCGAGCTAAATTGGATCAGATTTGGTTTCGGAACGGTTTGTTCGGTTAACATGTCCACATCTATGAATACTTGTTTACAACACTCAGTTTAATGTTTTAACAATTAGTGTATTCAGAGCAAAAGAATCGATTGAGCAAAAAAAAAAAAAATTCCACATATTGGTACGGTCTTTGGATAAAGAAACAAAAACAAAAAAAAACCAGGATAAGGCTTCTACGTAATGTGGTTGGCAATGAGCACACTCTTCAGTCCATGTTGAGACGACGTGCCAAGTCAGTGTGCAGTGCATGACCCGCCTGCATTTTAAGAGTGAATAAAACGCGTTCTATTAGAAAACCGGTATCTCTTTAGATGTCAAGAAAACTCTAGAAGATGTTTTAAAGTAGCATTTACCTTAAATGCGACTATGTGAGCCACAGGGAGTCCTCCATTTCCGCCTCGTGCTACAAGGGAGAGGTCACCGATAAGGTCTAGGATCTTATGTCGACAAGCTTCATTGTCAAACCGCAGAGGAGGGTTCATCCATCCATGCTCGGCGCTGCATTATAAACGGTTTCGGTTGAATATTTTGTCTATTACCATATATCCAGAGTCTCGAGCTTGGAAGTTTCTTTACCTACAAACTATAGCGTTATCCAAAGAACCTCCTTTAATTAGCCCTGCTTCACGCATTTTCTCCACCTGCAAAAAGAAAAAAACAGATGGTTGAAGAAGGAACACCAGTTACTGATATTCTAAAGCTCCTAAACAACAATGATTGGACAAACCTCTTCATAGACACAAAAGGTTCTCGATGGTGCGATATCCTTTGCATATGAAGATTCGTGTAGAGGTTTCCAAGAAAACCACTGGCAGCCTATAGCAGGCACCTGTAAGTAAAAGTTCATCATAAACCCCACACCTAGTCAATACGTTGTGCACAAGCAGGAAGAAAGAAGTTTGTTTTTCTTATGTGTTGTTAAAATGCCATTAGAGTGAACCTGTGGGAAGTCGATACCACAAGTGATCCGAGTCTCTAGAGCGGGATATGCAGCTACGAAAGAATCATTCTTCCAAACGTGCACAGGCTTGTTCAGATGTGCTACCATCTTCTCCACACTTTCACCAACATGGTTTTGAGCCACGTTTATCCCAACTTCTTCAATTGCATCAACCCATTCTTTAGCTGATCCATCAAAAATAGGGACCTGTCACTTGGTTAGTGTTGCCTACATTCATCACATCACCCAATGACCAAGGCAAATCCAATCAAACCATTCGAGAGTATCAAATGGTTCAGCGAAGTACCACACACGAATCCAATCAAATGGTTACTCGAAAAGGTTGAGTTTTCTGGAAACAAACCTCGACTTCTTGATCATCTGCATGTTCGCTATCGATTCGAATCCTGCAATTATCAACGCCCTTGGCCTCAAGAGTTGATAACAAGTGTTCAACGGTTCGGATTTTGAGCCCGTCTTTCAACAGCGTAGTGCAAAGAGGCGATTCCTGAGCAAATTCAATCGACGCGGGGATGGATCTGGACCGAAAGTCAAAGTACCTCCCAGCTCCGGCGATCTCCGGAAGTAGCTTCACCGTCGAAAGCTTACCGGAATGCAGAGACTTCCCTTTCACCTCCACACATCCCGCGAGAGTTTGCTGTAATCGTCCAATCTAGTATTGAATCCCAAAAAAGAAGAATAAATGATTCAAATGGGCATAATCAGGTCGTATATGTGCATGAGAGAGAAGATTACTGGATTCAGGGAGACTGTCGACGACGCGGCGGAGGAAAAGGACGATAATCGCATCCAAGAGATGAGAGTAGAGTTCTTGGCTTTGACGACGGCGACGGAGAGGTTCATTGATTCGACGGTCACACGGTGAAGCCGATTTTTTTTTGCAATCAAAGCTAAGATTCAAAGTATATGTATTATGTATAGTCCTACGACCATGGGTCTATTTGATGCAGGCTTTCTACAACGCAACTTCCCCACTTTGGAATATCAATCCAAGTTTAGTTTGATATCTGAATCTACAAAAGTAGGAGAAGAGAAGAAGAAGTGTACCAACAAAAAAAAGGTGTCGCCGGTGGAAGAAAAACGTCGGCGACTCGGCGTGGCTGAGAATGGAGGCTGACCCGCGTTATAAATAAGGGTCGACCCGGTATGATAAATAGATATGTTGTTGTTTTTTTTTTTTTTGAACAGCCCTTGTTTTGGAATTATAAATATGTTATTCTCTAGATTAGATGGTTAGTGATGCAATATGTAATCTTTGGACTTCACGGGATCGAGAGTTAGAAGCTGCTAGTTCTTCTAAGTTTTTAATCATTCTTTTTTCTTTGAAGTTCTCGATTTTCTCTATTAGCTTACAGTTTCCATTTTCAAAAGCATACCAACCATGTGTAATCCGATGTTTGGATTTATGCATGTCAAATTAGAGTTAGCGCTAATGACTGAATCTCTCTGCTTGGCCCTAAAAATAAATAGGATTAGGATTTAGATATCTAATTCTGAATGTATTTGTGACTGTAAACAAAAATCGTTTAGACTAAGTCACTAAGGTATTTTTGAGGTTAACCTGACCGGAGTCGTGATAGTCCAAGTCTTCAAATTGTTATAGTTGCTTGCCAAAACCCAACTTATTTGGGCGTTTTGGGTAGATTATATCTCGTTGATTCTTGATATTTTATATGCCGTCCACCTTAATCGTTATATATATATATATATATATATATATATATTGTTATTGAAAAAAAAATACAATCTTAAAGGGTTATCTTATCTATCTATTTCCTTACTAAAGGGGGAACAAAAAGCGTTGAAGTCAGTAGGAGGAACAAATGATTCGCCCGTCCTCCCAACTCATAAGCAACACAACGCCCCATGTCTTTCTTTTAGACCATCTCCAACCCTAAACCCTATTGAGGGGTTCATCAGATTTTTTTATTAGTTTTTTTGAGAAAATTTTTTTGGATGAACTCTATGAAAAACTTGGTGTCCAACCCTGAATCCCTTGAACGAGTTCTTTGGTTTATTTTAATAATTTTTTTATCAAAATTTTTTTTTTCTGAAAATCAATTTTACACATTTAATTTATTATAATCTGAAATAAATTATTCATTACATATAAATAAAATTACATGATAAAAAGATTAAACAAACTTATTCATTACATATAACTAAAACACAAGAAAAAAACATTAAACCAAATGTCCAAATTTCTGCCAAACATGTTCAAGTAAATCCTTTTGCAATTTATCATGTGTTTCTGTGTTTCTGAATGTCGAACTTCTTCGCGATTGCCTATCAAATTTTGAATATTTGTAGGCATATATGTAGCATACGACATATCCACATGAGAACTTCTGTTAACGTCGCCTTGTTCGTATTGTGTTGTATCAACTAGATTATATCCATCGCGTTCGCCGGAATCGCGAAGACAAGCTGAATCGCCCAAAGAGAGAGCTTCGGTCGTAAAAAAAAAGAGAACGAGCAAATGTTTTCCAGAAAAAAACCGATACCCCTAAATTTTAGTTTCTCTCTCTTTTCTGTTTCACCCAATAAAAACGATACATGTGGCCAATTTACCCCTTCCTGAACCGCTGCTTCAGGTACATCACAAAGCAGCGATGCTTTCAATTTTGGGCTTTTATTCTTTTTTTTAAATCCAAAAATGCCCAATAAACCCCTGATGAACCCCATATTACCCAGCGTTGGAGCTGGTCTTAACCTATTTAACTATAAAAAAACAATTATTTACTAGATATTTGATCCACAATGCTACTACAGATTTCTAAATATAAGAAAATCAAAAATCATATATAAAATTGGAATATATTCATTATTCGGAAAGCTTTTATAATTTTGACTATGATAAATTGAAGAAAATAATGTTCTGAGAGCAAAATTTAATCGTAGAAATCAATGTTTAAATATACTCATTCCGTTTCATAATAAGTGTCATTCTGACACATTTCACACAGATTAAGAAATTAATAAAATATACAAATATACAAATATACTCCTAATTAATATATTTTTATAATATTTAATTACAAAAAATATTATCTTTAAATGAGAGATAAAACAGGAAATAAGAGTAAAAAGTTACATTAAAAATGCAAAATGACACTTTTTTTGAAACAAAAAATGAAATCTAAAACGACACTTATTATGAAACGGAGGGAGTAAGAACATAAATGAATATCATGTTTTAGAAACAGTACAAGATTAAACTTATAAACACAGTTCCACTTCTTCTTTTTTAACAGCTCACAGTTCCAATAAATAAAAAACTTTCTTATAAAGCCCTCTTCGGAAGGACAAACAAATGTTCTCTATTTTTAGGGAAATATAATTTTCTTTATTTTAATTTTACCAATAATATCTAGGAGATTCCTTTATAAAGTCTCTCTATATATAGTTATAAATGCAAATTCTTCCATGCATGTGATATACTTGAATTTATTGTAATATGGAAGAAACGTAAATCAAAGCCCTATATTGTTGAAACCCACATATTTTAGTATGTAATAATCCAACAATAAAAATAATTTATAACATTAGTAGATATGCGTTGTGAAATAATGATAGGATGGGCAGATATTAAGGAGTGGTATTAGGAACAAAGTCTCTACACTCCACTCGCGTTGTTTGATTCTTCAAGGCATAGCAACGAAGTGGCACATGGGTGCACCCAGCTTTCTTAATTCCTTGCTTCCTCTTTTCTCCTTTTAATTTCTCCTTTATTTTATCCTTTCAAGTTAATTGGTGACGTTAAAGAAATTTGTGACGTTGCAGTTCAACGTCTACCACCTTTTAAAACTATTTAATTAAAAGGTAACAAATTAGCAGTAAGAAAAGCCGAAGAGTATTAAATGTATGTTATAACACATATCATATATGGACTCTTATACCGGCCCATTAGGCCCATCAAGGCATTATACTTAACCTAGATTCCTTATGTACTCTATATATACATTCCAGTGATTAATAAAGTTTCTAAGTTTTCACAACACGTTATCAGCACGATAAGACTCTCTGAGCGAAAAATCCTAATAAATCCGGCCATCACCAAAACCCTAAAAGCAAGTCGAAACTTAAAAGACGCATATCTTCCAAACCGTGAGGAACCAGAAGACGATCTACATATCAAATCGAAGCCCTCGACGAGACGAATCTACTGGTGAAAACCGTTTGTCGATCCAACGTCTGACGCGCCCTCACGCACACTTACAGTACACGACGATCAACCGAAAAAAAACCAGATCCGAGTTTTTCCTTCTTCAACCAGCAGCTTCTCCAGTTTTGGTGATCAATCCTTGGAATTTGTAGCGGCTAACTGAGGTCTATTAGCTCCCAGTTTCATTAGCCTGTCAGAAATCCAAAGGTGGAAAAGGTATCTTCTAAAACTGAGAGCCATAGAACCTGTTGTTTAAACACTTCAAAACCCTATAAAAAAAAAAAAAAAAAAAATCGATCTCTAATTGATTGAAAGTGTTTGATACTCTGATGATTGATTGATAACTTGTTGATTGATTGTTTAAATTACAAGTTTATGCATGTTCAAAGGTTTTAAACTCGTTTTATAAAACCCTAATCTACAAAAACCTAACAACCGTTTTTGGCCATGTTTATGGCATAAACCTATTCGATTTTCTTCATGTTTAATAAGCTTGTTGCAGCTTATTTGATTGTTGATTCTCTTGCTTGAAACACTTGATTGAATAAACTAAGAAAATCAACCCTAAATCCTAAGCTTGATTCACGATTTTGTAATCTTCAAAATCGTAAGTCATAATGCTTAAACCCTAGTCCTTTTCACGTGATTTTTTTGTTGTCCTTGTGAAATTATTAAAACCATCGACCACAGATCCTATAGATCTCGAAATCACATCCAAAATATGTTTTCCAAACCGTTAAAACCCTAGATAAAACCCTAATCATATTCGGCTCCCCTAGGGTTCCTCCTAAACCGCCTAAAACCGGCTAAACCTGGTTCTCATTAACCGAAATTATATTCGGCTTTAACCGATTAAATCACAGCTATTAAACCGACATCATGTTCGGGGTAACTAAAACCATACCCTTTAAAATTTACTATTTCCGAGAAAGTTCCCTCTAATAGAAAGTTTCCTCATATAAAAACTTTCCTCATATAGAAATTTTCCCGACATAGAAACTTTCCTCATTTAGAAAATTACCCAAATTAGAAACTTTCCAAATTTAGAAACTTTCCTAAAATAGAAATATTCTCAAAATAGAAAGTTTCATCATCAGCATTCAAAATTTTCTCAAAACAATCCCTAACAAAATCAATCTCATGTTTCAGATGTCAAACATTCAGAAATGTGAATTCGAGGCCCTTCACGTCTCCGGGGATAACTACCTCGAGTGGGCCCTAGACATGCGCTTGTTCCTTGCATCGAAAGAACTTGATGCGTGTATTACCGACGGTAACACCGCATCCCGTAAGGGACAGTCTCAGGCGATATGTCACATACGCCATCATCTGGCCCCGAGCCTTAAGCAGCAATATCTCACTCTTGAGAATCCACTTTAATTCAAGCGCTGAAAAAGCGATATGACCATCAGAAAATGGTCCAGTTGCCTCAGGCAGATTTCGACTGGAAGAACTTTCGGTTCCAGGACTACAAATCCGTAGATGATTACAACAACGAACTCTTTCGTATTGTTGCCATCCGGAAACTCTGTGGCGAGGATGTGACAGATAATGATATCCTCGAGAAAACATTATCCACATTCAGCACAGAGAATGTTGTGCTCCAACAACAATACCGTGCAATGAAACACACATTGTACGAAGACTTGTTGTCCTGTCTTCTCCTCGCTGAGAAGAATAACCAGCTGCTTATGAGGAACAACGCTATGAGGCCCCCGGGATCGGCTCCTGTCCCAGCTTCTCGTCAAGAGTCCTACCATGTTCAACCCGATAGATCCTCAGATCACCGCCGTGGACGTGGTAATGGACGTGGTAATGGCCGAGGACATGGACGTGGAAGACGTGGACGCGGACATGGTCGCGGCAACCGACCTAACCTCAGTTATGGTCCTGGTCGTGGTCGAGGCATCACCAAGCCGACCCGCCACACCAACCCCGATCACTCTGC